GTCCCCCGACGGCAGCCGTGCATTGCGTTGCCTAAGGGCAGCACAGTCGGTGGACACACACAAGACAACAAACAGCCAAATCGAGTCGATCGGCGGCAGTCCAACACAAGTTGGAGAAATGGCAGGCGGACGAAAGGCACACCACGCGAGACTCGCTAGCTTGTGCATGGCGGCAGTCGCCACGTACAAGCCAGCGACTTCTATCGCGCTGGTGATCGAAGTGGATGGGACATTTCGGTGCCCAGCGGCAGCAACATGCCGTGGCAGACTCGGAGGAATTCCATGGATTTTGTCGCAACTGCAATTGTTGATTCGCGGTACATGATTGGCTTGATTTTAGCCAATCATGACCGCGATGGGCAGATTCGCACACGCCGCGGTTCCATTTCGACTTTACCCACGACAAGCACACGATGGCGGACGTCGTGACGGAGTTCAAGGTGGGCATGACGTGCGAAGGGTGCTCCGGCGCATGTGAACGCATCCTCAAGAAGATTGCAGGTACGCATGCGCAGTGAATGTCTGCTACTGTGCTTACGGCTGTGTGTGTTCCAATCAACGAATGCAGGAGTGACGTCGGTGTCTTGCGACATTCCTGGCCAACAAGTGCTCGTGACCGGGACAGCGGACCCCGCCGTGATGCTGGAAGCACTGCTCAAGTGGTCCAAAGCGAGTGGCAAGAGCGTGGAATTGGTCCAGTAAGATAGGTTAATGTCACATGTCTGGCGGAATATCCCATTGCGAGAGCCCCGTTTCCTTGTTGAAGTAGTACGGCTTGTTTTGAGCGTCGTCCCATTGCTCGATCCATGGGCTCTTCTTCGCTTTCTTCTCTTCCGCGGTTTTCTCCGCTTCGAGCTTCGCCACGTCGTCGCCTTCGTCTTGCAGTGCATCCTCGAGGCCGGCGGCAATGCGGTTCTTGTACTTGGTCGCGTTTGCCACGAGTTTCTTTCCGGCCGCAGTGTCCTCAACCGTTTCTTTGAGCTTCATCGCCATCTTCTCGGCACGGTTCATCGGTTTGGGCTCGCGCCACACAGCAGGCCAAATTTGCTCCACGTGGACGGCGTAGTTGCTTTGAATCGTCAATTGAAACGGCCCCTCCATGTCTTTCTTGTAGGCCGCAATCAAGATTGTGTACGTGCGAGCTTGCAATTCGCATTTGACCGATACCTGCCGCTCTCGTACGGGCGCACCGCTGTGCTTGACGACGTGGAGTTTATCCAGCACCTTGACTCGGGACGCTCGGTCGGCCATGGTTCCTTGGACAATGTACACCGCGATCGGCAGCACGGTGACGGGTGCGAGACCTGCTTTGTCGACCTGTGTGACTGTCAGAATCACTTCCGTTGGTCGCGTCACCCCCAACGAGTAGTGCGGGTTGTTGTCAAGTGTGCAGTCGGGGTTGTGGCGCGTCGGGAGGCCGCTTGCAGTTTCGTTCTTGATCGAGAACGTCCCATGGTGGGTTAACTTGGTCCACTTGTTCGGGTCGTAGTACTTGCACACGTACAAGCACCGGAACGCGTTGCAAAAGTCGTCAAAGCTCATCCAGAACGTGTTGTCGTTCGAGTTGGCTTGGACGCCCAAGTGCTTTTTGAGCCGTCGAGTCCACAGAGGCGAGTCGTCCCCCCAGTCCCCGCGCCACTCGGCGTGATCTCCCGGGGGATTTCGCAGCTTGATGAGCTGATGGCTGTCGATTTCACGGATGTCGTAGATGCAGTAGCACGCTCCAAAGACGAGGCCCGTGTCGAGGATCTCATGGTCGGCATTGTCGCTCGTGATCGTGCCTGCCCCCATGAGGAATCGGTTGCTCTTGTGGCTCAGCAACTGCTTCCACAACGTCTTCTTTCGCGCACCCCGCGACGCCTGCGACAAGAAAATTTCCTCGGACGCATGGCCCGTCAATGCCTCCAACGCGTGGTGGACAAACCCTTGCTCGAGCGTAGCGTATCCGCCGTAGTACTTGGCATACGCTTTCTCCAGCAGGGGGACCCACAGCTCTTCAAAGTGGCGGCTATGCGCAAACGCAGCGCCGGCGGAAATGTCCATCTTGTGCGCGTCGCTGAGGACGGGAAAGTAGTCGTCGACGATCACGGTTTCCCACTGCGAATTCTTGAACAGCCGAATGGCGTACGCCCCGGTCAACGACGTTTGCTTGGTGATGAACAGGTTGTCGATGACCGGGTCGACCTTGCCATCGTCAACGCCGCCCGACGCCGCGAGAATACTGACTGCGCTCAAGAACCATCCGTCGTTGAGCCGGCCAAACCGGACGTCGTCGGGGTCCGTGCCGCCGTCAAAGAGGCCGGCGGTAATGTTGATGGCTGTCGACACCCGCCAGTCGACGACTTCGGCTTCGTTGGCACACCCTGCCAAGGACGCGTATGCGGGTGGGAAGTCGGGGTCGACAAACTGCAGCGACCGACCGTACTGGCCGACGTTGCATGCATAGCCCGACTCGATTTCCGAAATCGCTTCGTGGGCATTGATCACGGCTTCCGGGACAGTCTCGTCCACGGCAATGCCTTCCTGTTCCCGGCGCACGCGTCGCGCGACGCTCTCTTCGTACATTTTCCGGCACATATCGGTCTCTCGTGTTTGCCAATACGCCTGCACTTCCATTTGGTGGGCGACACTTGCTGCGTCCTCGGCGTCCACGATCGCGTCTTTGCGGTCCATTTCAGCGCTAAACGCGGCTTTGAGCGTGTGGAATCGGTGCCGCTCTTCGCGCGTGAGCGAGATGAGCCACGTCGCCACCAGCGGGATATCAATCGACGCGTGGGACGATGTCTTGAAGATGTCGGCGGGGGGGTTGATTCCGTTCGACATGAGCTTGAACCGATTTTCGCGCAGGAACTTTTGAAACAGCACGCGCTCGCGGGACAAGCGTGCATCCGCCGCGTTCAACAGCATGAGCTGAAAGTGGATGATGCACCGAGTCTCTTCAAAGAATTCCACGTCCAGCGCCGCGTCCTTTGCCGGCAACGCGTGCAAATGCGCCAACGAGTCGACAAATTCGTACGGCTCGTCCACTTCGTCCGGAGAAAGCGGGTGCGGGGAGACAATCAACGGTTTCTTGTCTTCGCTGCTGCCGACGCCGTCAATGGGGGGGTTGCCCGTCTCGGGGTCGACGTCGACATTGCTGAAGCTTCCCCCTTGGCCGGGGCTCGTGGGTTGCGGTCGCTCCTTCAGCTCGGTCCTGTCTCGACTGGTTTTCGTGATGGCCAAGCTCAGTTTTTTCGTTTTGGTTGCAACAGAAGTCTTGGCGTCCTGAAGGAGCTTGGAGTTGGCTGCCGCGGCTTGCAATTCCTGACCTTTCGACATCATCATGCGCTGCAAACGTCGAGTCACTCGATGATTCTTCATTCGCATGAGGGCCTTGTACCCATAGCCAAAGAGGCCGATGTACGCAAATGGTCCGCGTCCGTGCTGCAAAATGTCCCACACGACGTCTGCATACGTGAAGAGCGCATCCTTGCGTCGAGCAGTCGATCCATCGTCCAGTAGTCGGTTCGAGCATTGCCATATCGTGTCGTCAATGTCAAGCGCCACGTCGGTGGCGGACTTTCGCGGCGGCATCGCGACGACCCCAATCTCCTGGAGCGCGGCGACGTCCGACGCCGACTTTTTCTTGCCATACGAGAGCCGCTGGTACTCGAGTTCGGCTTCCTTTTCACGTCGCTCGCGGTCGACGAATTCCGTGCACTCGAGGATGAGTGGCTGTCGCCGGTCGTCAAACACCCCCTTGGCGACCGTGCTCGCTTCGCGGAGGATGCTTTCGTTCACGTACTTGGCGGCAATCCCCATGCGGACGGGGGTCACGGAACACAAGTTGGCCGTGTACCCGATGAACGCAAGCAACGAAAACGACGAGAGGCCGATTCCAAACCCGAGCGGATCGAAGAACATGACGCCGATGCAGCCCCAGAAGAACGCCACCAGGAGCGCCCGGTACACGTTGAACGTTTCGCTGTTCTCGTCCGTCACGTTGTTTGTCGCGGCGTTGTACGAAAAGATCGGAAACACGTACGGCGAGTAGAACACGACAAGGTCCGGCTCGCGGCACATGCGAATCGCCACGATGTTGATAGTAAACTTGAGCAAGAGGACAATCATGGCAATCGAAAAGCAAAAAAAGATGTTCACGCCAAAGAGGACGGCGAGCGTGACAAACCCGACCGCGCACGCGACAATGATGCGGTTCGCGACGGCTTGGTACTTTGGGGCGAGGTAGTAGTCGTTGCGGACCCATTGCCGGAGAAAGAAAATGGTCGTGTACGCTGTAAACGCGACAAACGTGAACGCGCCGCCGACGGGAACACTGACCCACACGTACATTTCAAACAGAAACACGGGGGCGACGCCCGAGACGACCATAAACGCCTGGCGCACGAAATTCGACAAGACCCAGTTGTCGTCGCGCCATTTGCACAGCGCCACGACGACGAGGAGCCCGAGGGGGTAAAACACCAGCACGGTGAAAATCCACAGCGACTGGACGTCGTACAAGTGCATGTCTTGCACGACCAAAAACAAGTACAGCCCCATAATCCACGCCAACGACGTGCTCAAGACGACGCTTTGGCGGATGTCCGCAGTCACGTCGAGGACGTGGAACCACTTGAACACGGGCGACACGGAAAAGATGAGCACTATCGCGGCGACCCACAGCACGTGGCCAAACCACGCGGGGGCTTCCGTGAACGACGCGAGCACGCCAAACACAAACAGGCAGCCCAAGAGACTGACAAAGCAGCCTAACGTCAAGTAGTCCTCATGCAGGAGGTACCCTTGTCGGAATGCTTGGTACAGCGTCATCTTTTCAAAATCAATCTCCACTGGCGGCGCGGCGGTCGTGTCATTTCGCGGGGACGTGACCCGCTGGTACCTGGCCCCACGTCGGCGGCATGGCATTCGGCTCAAACACTGCAGGAGCTTGTCTCGCCATGTCCGTTTGGTGGGTGCAGGCGATGCAGCAGCCGTGGAAGAGGTCATACCTCCATCGCTGGGGGCCGTGGGGTTGGCCTCTTCGAGGGGGTTGGTGCCGTCAGGACCATTGCTATTGTCTGGGGAGACGGCAACTTCGCCGGCCTCTAAATCTAGCTCATCTGCATTCTTGTTTTGCTTTTCGGTTGTGTCCGCTTCGTTCGCTGCGGCTTCCATGGCATCATCAGCAGGGTCGTCGTCCTGGTTTCCCGGTGCTGGGTGTTTGGCTTTCCCTGCAAGTTGCAACACGGACGCAGCACCCCCGCCTAGCCCCAGCATTGCTGCCCCACCTTTCAGGACCGGCAGGGGTGGCATCTTGAACTCATTCGACGAGTCGTCTGGCGCGCCCCCCCGGAGAGATGGAAGCACGAATGTGTTGCGCATCGCGTCGGCTTCCTTGGCGAATTCCGCCTCTTCGTCAAATTCTTCGTCGTCCACGTCATCGTCTTCGTCTTCCGGCGGCCAAATTACGAGGCGGTGGTCGTTCTTGCGCCACTGGACAAACACAACCGTGGACAACATGAGCAGAATCGGCGAAAAGATCGACAGCAACAAGATAAACGTCGACTTTGTTGCGGCCCACAGAAACAGACCGGACATCACGACCATGAGCTCCGACGCGGCCGCTAGAATAAAAGGCAGGCGAAACCCCGGCTTGTAGAGGTATACTTGGGCCGCGTACTCGGTGAGGAGGCGCTGCTTCATGAGGAAGAACGCGCGCGAGCTCGCGAGTGCGATGCCAGTGAACAAGACAATCACAAAGCTCAGGACACCGAACACCCAGAGCGGCCAGAATTGTCCAAACATGGGCAGCTTGACGCCAGTGGCGCTGTCCGTCGTAAACGCTACGGCGACGAGCAGAAACAGAAAGAAGAACGAGAGAAACCCAAGACCAAACTCGGGAGTCGCGCTCAAATCGAGCTGCTTCTCGTGCTGGTATTCGTGGCCAAAGAAAGTGATCCCGCCCGCTTCTTGGGCACTCATCCGGGGAAGGTTGCGGCCGACGATTTCGCGGCACAGCGCGACGCCAAAAATGGCAAAGCACAGGGTGTGCCCGAGGAGCCAGTACTTGCCGCAGGAGATCACCAAACTCACGCGCGTCAGCCCCATGAGCAACGAGATGTACCCTGCCGACCACGTGAGATGCCCCCGCAAAACCAGCGCGAGCGTGGCGTCTAAGAGAAGGATCGTAGCGAAAATTCCAATCCCTTGGGTCGGGTATTCACTCCGGACGTAGCCCACGATGGCGTAGGCGGCCAAGATCGCGACCGCGGTCAAATACAGCCGTCGGTTGGCCTTGGTGGGTTTGTCGTTTACAAATGCGGATTGCAAAATGTCGGCCAGTTCAAACCCAGGAATCGTTCGGACTACCGAATAGTACGGCCCAAGGAGCGCGTCAAACGGCGAGACGGGCTTGATCCCGCGCTCGTGGCGGAGCGCTTCAGTGGCTGTGGCCATCTTGAGGCCGACCGTCCCAAGGTTTTTGAACTTCTTCTTGAGCAGCCCGACCTTCTTGCCGACGGTGACGACGGCGAGGACTTGCGCCAGCGACTTCATGATCTTCTTGTCGTTTGTAAACGTAAGCCAGATCATCGGAAGCATGTTGAGCGTGAGAGAGAACGCTGTGAGGCTGAAGAATTCAATCGGCGTGCCTCCGTAAAACACGCGCGGGTCGGCAAAGATGGAACAAAACAGAAAGAGAAACCCGCACACGCACGCGACGGCCATGCACAACATGATTTCGCGCGTCATGCGCCACCCCATGCGCTGCCACTTGACGCACGCATAGACACCAACGAGGCCCCCGCACCCAATAAATATGAGGAAGAACCCCACCGCGGGGGGCTGCACCGTCGACACGGCCGTCGCACCCCATGTGATCACGATGCAGAACGGCGCGAGCACGCACGTATTGACCGCCATCGTCGCGTAATACATGTGGCGTCGAAAATCCATGTTGTGCGGCGTTTTGTCATAGCACAGGAACAACATCGCTACGACGGGCATCGGCTTCGAGTTCGCCTTGGCATTCGTGGCTGCTGTAGTCGCAGCGACGGGCGGCGTCCTTGTCGCTGCTGTGGTCAACCTGTCTTTCGCCTGACCGTTGTCGTCGTGGGGGTGGAGCGCAAGCCCGGCCAAGTAGGATGGCACGCGGTCGAGACGGCAGTGCATCTTGCGGCAATACTGCACACTCATGTACAGCAAAATGACTACGGACGGACCAAACTGTAGCGCTGACAAGAGGAACGGGCCGCGGCTAAACTCTTTCGAGTACACTGGGGGGGTTCCGAGCCCGGGGACTTTGGGCACGAGGACCGCAAAGTACATGGACAGCGTGACGTCGGGGTTGTCTTGGTGAATATTGACGCCGAGAATGATGCCAGCGCCAAGTGCGTCGCCGTACTTGTTGACCGGGTGCGCGGTAAAGTTCCTCGACACGGCATCGAAATCCTCAGCGACATTCACGACTTGGGCCGACTCTTGTTGCTTCACCCAGCCCAAGGCCGGGTCGAGCCACTCGAGGGGCCCGAGCAACGTGTCTGTTTCGATGTCGGTCTGCCGACGAAACACAAACAGCTCCGCGTCAAAGTTCATCGTCACACGGGCAAACGGCGCGAAGCCGTAGATCGGGATCAGCGACTTGTTTCCCGCGTGATTGTTCATCCCTCGCGTGTTGTCCGGTCGAACGAGGATGCCTCCTTGCGACTTGGACATTTTGTAGTAGTTTTGCAGCCGCTGGTCGCCCGGTGTCCACACGCGACCGTACACGCTCGTGTACAAGCTCACGGGAACTTCGGGGTAGAATCCGCCCATGCCCCCTGCCACGCGGGCGTTCGGGATGAACGTTTCCTCCACTTTGACTTGGAACGGTACGACAGTTTGGCGCAGTCGCATGCACGGCACGTCCGTAAAGTTGCCGCTGCTGTCGAAGCACGCGCCGGAAGCCAACGGCAACCAGACTTCTTCGACACAGACCGGTTGTTTGGGCATCGCGAACGACGAGTCCTCGCCCGCGTTTGGGGTGAATTGCACGACGCTCGAAAACGCCGAGCAATAAATCACATGCACCGTCAGTGCCGCGATGAAATCGTGGGCGAATTCCATCCCGTCGTCGTAATCCAGCACTTCGACGAGAAATGGCGTTCCGGACGTGCGGTAGCCAAACGCAAGGTCCCGTTTGATGTCTTGCTTTCCGCGGCAGCCCGCTTGGGCGCACGGCGGCCACACTGGATTCAAACTGTTGAGGATCGGGTCGGACGCGAGGACGTCGACGCCAAAAGTGACTCGAATAAACGCATCCGTCGAGACCGAAAACGGTCCAAACGAGTCGAGCTCTGGCAAGTTGCGCATTTCCACGACAGTGACCGTCAGGTTTCCGCCAGCGTATTTGAACGTGCCCGCGTCCGGGCAAAGGGTGGGGCCACCTGCACACGAAAACGAGTTGTTGAGTATGAGCTGTTCGACGCGAGTGTCGGCCCGCCCGGGCGAATAGCTTGTCTGTGCGTCTGTGGTGTGAACGAGTATGCTCCATACAATCCAGGATGCAGCCACAAAACTTTGCCAGCCATCCCAGGCGCGTGGCCGATGGATGGGCGGCGCCATGCAGGAATATATGACGACCTTTCGAAAAGACACCGGTAACGAGCGGTTTCACATCGGTTACAGACTGACAGAGAAAAAAGGCAGATGGACACCACTCAGCAGTACGCGAGGTGGCTGGCCAGCAAAGCGACGCGCAAGTTGAAAGGGCATCGAGGTGATATTGAGCCACCCACGACAATGCGGCGGCTGCTGTCCCAGACTTCGTGACCAGTGTCGTGGTCACCCGTTTCAAAGATTAATATTTTGATTGGCTTGATTAAAACTGTTATGCCTTGACGATTGGCTATAATGTTTCGATATATAGAATTTCAGCCAATGATATCGGATCACAATGCTGGACATGCAACGGCAAAGAATCAGCCAATCACAAAGCACCATTCCCTCAGCTTTGGTGCAGTTGCATTTGGTTCCAACGACAGCATGACGACCGCACGGCAAGTCCTGCTCAGCGTACGCGTCATGGACGAAATACAGCAGTTCCAGGATGGCATCTTCCTTGACATGGAGTCGCTAAAGGTGCTTAGCGCTCAGCCGGATGGGCAGGGCGACAACGACCTCCCACATCTCGAGGTCCGTGCGGTCCAAGCTCTGGCCGACTGGTTCGGGCAGCACAAACTTGTTCGATTGCCCAAATTGCTTCGCGAACATCCAACCTTGATCAAAGTTGTAGTAGCGTACGCTTTGCAAGCTGGCAGTCTCATGGTTCTCAAGTGCCTTCTACGAAGGGGGTATTTGTCGCCACACCAGGGTGCCCTCCTCAACCTGGCCGTTGTCCACGGCCAACTCGAAGTCCTTGAGTACCTTCTCCCCCGCATGCAGCTATGTACAATATCGCCGCGTCGAGCTGCGGCATCGTCCGCTGAAAACGCTGCAAAGGCACATGTCAACGCGCTAACATCCACAGACACTGGAAACGAGGTTTCTGACCAAGCGCGCACAAGTTTGAAAAAACTCCAGACGGCTGCAGCGATGCTGTCTCTCTTCAGTACGCATCCGTGTCGGTGCAAAGTTTGCGCACCGGCCCCCATGGCCGCTTCCGTGGTGCTTCGAACCCCGCGTCTCGTCAAGGCTATCTATGGCTTTCAAACCACGATGGAAAGCTGTTCAGCGTTCCAGTATCTGTACGATCCGTGCTCGTTCGAGTGCCCTGCTCAACGACATACGTCTTACTTTACCACGACATCAAGACTCCTCCAACCGCATCAACCCGCCAGCCTCGCCTATCGATCTCGTGTCGGTTTGTATATTGGAAGCGGGCACCACCTCGTCGCCCATGCCGCATTGACGCAGTGGCGCGACAACGGTGCCTCTCCACGCTTGGAGTGCCTGCGTCAGGTATACCCCCACATGGTTGCAGTGGTTGTAGTGGACGCTCTGTGCTTTGGCCCGATCGATGTTCTCCAGTACCTTCACGATCAAGGCTGGCTGCGATCATTCCACCAAACTTCGTCCATTTTCAGCGAAGTAGCAGCCGCCATTCTCCAGCCAAAGTCAGTGCAAGCATTTCTACAAGACCATGGGTACGACGTCCCATGGCTCTATCGTTCGTCTGGCGTTGGAGCGTGCTTTCAGCGAGTCTTGCGGTGTAAACGCGTAGCGCGGTGCATCGTGGGCTTTCAGTGTGGCGTCCCCTTCGCACTCTCGTTCCACTCGCTCGTCACCCCGGACAGTCTCTTGACACCGGACGAGCGCGCTTGGCTTGACAAGCAGGAACATCTGTCCCCGCAAGTCGCCGTGTCCGACGCAAAACGCGCGCCGATTTGGCGCTACATGACCCTGGGCCACCACTTGAACGCCCATCGACTGTTTACTCTGCGTGGCACCTCTCACAGCAACATGAAAGCGTTGATGGACGCGGTGATACGTGTGCGGGATGGAGCGCTTTTCGACGTGGTGGTCGTTGAGGTGCTGGCATTTGGCCAAGTGTCGCTGGCACGCTGGCTCGTGAAGCACCACCGCGTTCGCAACTTCCCAGTCGATGCCATGGACATCGCAGCGGCGGCCAACAACTTGTCCGTGTTGACGTATTTGCATGGGATGAAGTACAAGTGTACGACGGATGCCATGGACGAGGCGGCGCGCCTCGGTCACTTTGAAGTCGTCAAGTTCCTGCACCTGAACCGTTTGGAAGGGGCGACGAAACGAGCGGTTGATTTAGCAGCGGCCAATGGGCACATCGAGATCGTGCAATATCTGCTACACCGACGCCAGGAAGGGTGTACAGCTTATGCGCTCGCCGCTGCCCGCGCGAACGGCCATGTAAATATCGCGCGGTTTCTCGTCAAGTCAGTGGCGAGGTTCCAAAATGCCGCACCAACTAGACTCGATACCCTTGTCCGTCAGGCCTTTCTGCTCGACGCGTTCTGGACGTTGATCGATTCGTTTCAGCAGGGACTGCCTGTGGACATGTTGAGTCTGCGTCCTTTGCGAACCCTCGCGAGGCGGTTTTGTCCAAAGACTGTGGCTGGTGCGGCGAGTCGCAATAAGTCGGCCCTGCGGCGCGAGGTATGGGAGGTCCATGTCGAAGCGAAGAAGTTGCTCCTGCCTTGGTTTCAAACATACGGCTGCGGTCGCCTGTGGAAGCTGCTGTTCCTCATGCCCGAGACCGTTGACATGGTGTCGATTGCTGCGCTGAGTGGTGGCCGCATCGATGTTGTCCAGTATTTTCATGACCACGGGCACTTGTTTTCGTTTCCAGGCGATGCAGTCGCCGTTGCCCGGTGCCATCGGCACGACGCCGTGAGTGCTTTCTTGCATCGATGTGGATATGCACAAACTTGCAAAACCTCAAACACCCCGGTGTGCCCTTGCGTCCTCGAGTGGAATGTTGTGCATGTGGTCGGTATTGGACTGCGTCAAGGTGCCGACGACAGGTGTGGCCTTGTGAGCAAGAATCGCGCGACGACCGATGTCCCAAAACAGTCGCGGGTCCGACATGGACGCCGCACCGCCACGGGCTCACGTACGAGCAAGCTGGAATGAGCGGGGGCGATGGTTCCATCACAGCAGGGCCGCCTAAGTTGCTACCGACGGGAGCGCTGCCGCGGTCGTCGTCGTCATCGTCGATACCAGTCGCATGGTCGCCCACGACGCCACTCGAATTGGAATCTCGCGACGTGCGACACACAGCAATGTCGCTTCGACGTGCGGTGCACCAAGGTGGAGCATCGTGTTTGTTATGACCCCCAGTCCAATGCAAACCCATAAAACTCCAAACTTTGCGTTCCTGGCTCGTTCACGAACCTCCCTCTGTCTCTCTGGACAATCCCTCGACTAGATACGTCAGTGTTCATGATGCACCACAAGTGTCGTGGATTCCCTGGCCCTGACAGGGCGACCGAAGGGGGCACGAGGACATCGCGAAGTCCTCAACTCGATTGTCGCGAAAGTGAATGTTGCAACGCGATTGCAGCGTCGGGGGGGGGGCTCGGACGACGTGGGTCTCTCTCCCTCCGGTCTTTGTGTCTGCCGTGTCACAAACCCGCCTGCCATGCCATTGGTAACAACTACTACCTGATGGAGCTCCACCGAGCCCCACATTTTTTCATATCTCGAGGTGCGGCGCCCCCTGAACATCTGGCTGGTTCTCCCAGGCGACGTAATGGCTGCGGCGACGCTTCTACCAATAGCCCCGATGCGTGATACAGAGTTTGCAACTTGCACGAGCTCACCGATATGATGCTGCACGGGGAGCCGCCGAGTCCTGCCATCGCAACGGCAGATTGGCCACGGTACTTGGACCTGTCTCGGCCGCAGTCCACTCCGACACGAAAGCGTTCCCGGTTCAGCGACGTCCACGAGCACTCGATCACAGAGTACTACCGCCAAGAGTGCCTCGTGGCGTATTACACGCCTCGCAACCTCGCACCGTTGCGTATGGACCACGAAGACGAAGATGACGCGTTACCGCCCCGCAAGCAGCGCGTCGGACGGCGGCACGTGACCTTTCACAGCGACCTGGACGTCGTTGGCGTGGCTGACCCCGACGTCGACCGGCGACCCACGCCCGTTGCGCCCGTTCCGTCCGACGAAATGCGCAACTTGCTGGCGGCGCGCGTGATTCCGCCTCAAAACAAATGAACGTCCATATCGGAGTTCAATCGAGAGCTCGCACGACGCCGTTGCTTTACGACGTTCTCATGAAACGACACAGCAACCGCGTAGACTACAACAGCTCGATCGGTCGTTTTCGTCGTCCTACGATAAAAATACCGTGATCATTTGCATGTGCGAGAGCACGTGCCATGGCACGGCGACAGCACCTCGGACAGGGCACCCTCCATCACGTTGCGGGACGCCAGTGTCTCGACAGCGCTAAAGTCTGCGACCCACGCCGCATTGCCTTCATGTGCCACGGGAGTTGAAACGCATCTGGTCGTGCAACGTCGTGGAGCGAAACCAGGACAAGAGTGCATTATCGTACGTGACGTTTAGCGGTCGTGGGGGAGCGTGGACAAGGCCAGGTGGTGCGCCGACGTCCCCTTTGGCATGTGTTGGAATCTCCCACGCCGAAGACGGTTCCGGAGGCGGTGCTGGCAGTGGATCGTTGAAGTCGACCCATGCGTGGGGCTGGACTCGATCGTCTCCAGCCGCATCGTCCACGATGGAGCCTGCTCCGCCGAGTCAGAATCCTGGATTGTCATGACAGCCGTACGTTGTCGTTGGGGCTGTACCCACGTGCCGTCGACCATGCACGCGTCGCACACGCGATGGAGTCCATCCAAGCCATACACGTCCTTCCGCGCCTTGGAACAGTCGGAACAAACGATGTCGCCGCACGACTGCGACCGCTCCATCAATGACAACACAAACAAGAGCGGGCGTACCCGGCAGTGATGGCGGCGAAAGTACATGCCAAACGGGACGTGGCAGATCATGCACCCGACCAACGCGTCGTCGTCAACCCACCACACGGTGTAAGGCTCGTCCGTCTACTGCATCCGTTAGCATGGTGTCGTCGCCACGTCTTGCGGCACTGCACCCGTCGGTCTTTGGGCGGTGCTGGCACACGTTTCCACTGCATCTCGGGCTCTCGCAAGTCCTTGTAGCTCGCGTTCGAGAGAAGGCGAAAGCCCTGCCGCAGGTGCTTTTTGAACTTTTTGGCGGGCGACTCTTCTTTCTCGGGCGCCGGGGGGAGTTTGCACGTGTGCGCCGGCGAGTGCTTTGACGTCATTCCCTTGGAAAGCGACGACGATTCCATGGACGTGTGCCGTTGCAGGTGGAGCGTCGCCAGCCGCACCGCCTGCGGCGTGAGCTCGGACCGTTGTTTGGTCAACACCCGACCCGTCAAACTCGACGGGTGAGGCTCATGCTGCGGCTGGCCTGTCGGCGACGTCGACATCGCGATATAAGGAGTCAAATCCATGGCGGCGTCCGTTATTGTCAGAAGTGTATCATCGGTGGAGGCGGCGCCAGGCAAAGATTGGCCGTTTCAGCCTCGGACGATGCCAGAAGTGGAGAAAAATCTCGCGTACTTCTAGAGTGGCGCTGCCGATCTCCACCAACTCGACACCCATATCACCTCTGCGGAATGCGCGGGGCCAACTCAAGGATGTTCGTTTGCGACGGGGGCTTCACGGTCGACACAGTCATCGTCGACAAGGCATGGATCCCCCCGCCGAGTCTGGTGGTGTCTCACGGCAGCCAGGTCCAGCACGTGGGCGACGTGGGCTTGCCGGAGCGAAAAGATACGTTGCATTCGAGTCGTTAAGGTTCCAAAGGCGGTGTGAAATGATGCGATGTGGAACGGCGACGACGCGACATGAGTTTGGCGACGAGGGCTAGGACCGTTGGATGCCCGGGCGAAACAACCAAGAACAAGATCGCGACGTATCGAAGCCAGCCACGCCTTGGTCGCTTGAGAAGCCAGGTCAGGGCCACGACGCCGCCGACGAGCCATCGATGGCCACGGATGAAACGCCACGTCAAGCGTCTACGTCAAAGAAGAACCTTTAGCCTATCGACAGAGATAGATCAAGTGTGCGAGAGTGACAACGGGGCTGCTTGCCTAGACAATGCTTTGCGCAATGGTGTTGACAGGGCTTTTATGGGAACGCTCTTGTCCGTGAAATGCTGCGAGTTGGCATTCACCCATGTCAGCGTTCGTGGACGTTCGTCGACGAATTCATCGGGAAAATCCGGGGGGTCGCTCAGGAGGGTCTCCACATTTCGGTCACTATCGCCGCCCATGAGTCCTCCGAAGGCTTGACGTGCAATGCATGCACCTGTGATCGTGCGGTTCTGGATGAAGTCCAAGGGGAGACTCAAGGGGGCTTTCGGGGGACTCTGCTGTGGCTACAACGGCAGGCACAGGACGCATGGCGACGTCGACGTTTCGCGCACACGAGTGATCACAACGAGGGGCATCGTGGGGGGAATCGTCGTCAGCGCGATGGTTCGGAGAGTCGGCGTCAGCCATCTCGGGAACTTTTTGTACCTCAAGACCTGACGATTTCCCGTCAACCGGAAGGTCGACGCTACACGTTACGACGACTTCGTTTTGAACGAGCTCCACCGCTGGAACTGGTGCACCGACATCGTTGTCTCCAATTTCAGTGTGTTTGTGCATCGAGCTGTCGTCCACTTCTAGCACCTCGTCTTCTTCGGGGCCGTGGTCCTTTACAGTCTTGGCCTTGTTCACATTCGAGGCGGAGAGTGACCTTTCATCTTGGGATGTCGTCGAGTCGTTCCCGAGCACCGATTCCGTCAAGCAGGCGTCGTCGTCGGCGTTGTTGGCATGCTCGTCTTCTGGCTGCACCGTGTTGTTGTGTCCTTTCCCTGGTGCCTGCGCCCATTCGACACTACAAATTGAGCATTGGGTACAACCACCTTAGCAGCTCTAGTTGCCACAAGGTACCTGTGCGAAAGTGCAGGCGTCGCTCGCTCGTTGTCATCGTGGTGGTGATTCTTGGCAAGTGGATCCTCTGCATCGTATTGGGATCGCCGCCTATCATGTACGCCGTGTGAGTGTATACATTGGCCGCCCAACGACGGCATGTCGCCCTCTCGACGCACAGGCCGTTCGTCGCGCTTTCGAACGAGACGTTGTAATGTGCGTGCAGCATGCGCCACATGAGGTCGCGCTGGCCAGCGCCATATTGGGCCAGCTGTGCCTTGGCCAAATGAACGTCTTGGGGGGCATACGCGGCATAGAACTCCTCCAGTTCGCCCAACGCGTCGTCGACATCGTCCCCAGCAGCGTCCCCGTCGAAGTTGAGTCTGGCCAAAGCGCAATTACTGCGATCTGAAACCACGTTGAGGGGTGGATGATTTGTCCTCGACCGTTTACGCTGGACTTCACGTACCTTCCGTACTCGTTGCCCCCGGTACGGTCTTTCTGCGACAGTCGTTGCGACCATCGATCGATTGACCTGTGAAGTAGACTCCGTCGTCATCGTCGTCTTCATGTGCGATGCTATGGCTTTGCTCGAGCCTCTCGAGGCGGCGGCGCGCGACCGGATCCATCCACACGCCATTTGTCAAGCACGCGTCGCACACTCGATGCATGCCAACCAGGCCATACACCTCACGCTTGGATTCGGCACAGTGACCGCATACGACGTCGCCACAGCTCTAAACGATCAATACGTTGCCGATCGCAGGTATTGTGTCCATCCAGTCTTTCCGACGTACGCGGCAATGGTGGCGGCGAAGGAAGAGCGTAAACTTGGTATTGCACACCATGCACCCGCTAACTTCTTCGTTGCGGGTCCACACCACGCAATAGTCTTCCCCTGGCTGCAAAGCAAGCGTGAGGCAATGACTAAAGTCTGGTCGACACCTTGACTTGATGCGATGGCGCCGTGTGAAAGTCATGGCCGACGTCGTCCGAGTGGGCAGTCGAGATGGTCGAGTCAGCAAAGCTCTCGCCGTTTTGAAGGGCTGCCACGCGGCGGCCTGTCGACGACGACATGGCAAGTTGTCGGCGCGAGCTACACAGGTCGTCCCGGGCGACGCTCGACGCCGTTGTGGCGAATGTCTAAAATTAGCGCGGTCCCGGCAGTTTCACGGATTTTCTGGCAGGCAACGGATTCGTCGGCGGCGACCGAGAGGTGGCACTGAAGTGCTTGCCGCTGCACAAATGAGATAGCCAGGGACATGCGCCTTGCGCTGCCTCATGGGCAGCGTGTGTTGTACTGCCTCCCATTCGCGTTTGCCCGAAACTGGCCTTGTTTTTAGTCTGGTCCGCGGCGCACAAGATTTTATCGACGTGGGTTAACAGTGTCTAGTGCGGCAGGACCCCCCCTAATTGTTTGGTGTGGTCGGAGTGAAGCGTGTTTAAGAGTATCTCGTTGGGGGAAGGGCATGGGCTCGTCGGTGAAAGCCATCAAGTTGGGTCTCGATCGGGGTGTTCATCTGCAATGTCGAGGTGACCGTCGCCGCCACTCTCAAACGTGACAGCGCGACGACCAGACTGCGTGACTGTGACGGGGCCGAGGGCATCATCGGGTGGCTGTCGACAGTGGCGCGTAGATAGCTCGTGGCGACGCATGCATTCTAGGCTGTCGAGTGGCGCAATAGATGCGCTCCAGTCTCGCTCCACCAAGCCTGGGTGTTCTTCAACCAGCAGCGCCCGGCGAGCCGCCACCACCAATTTCGGCCTCGATTGAGTACTTTTGGCCCGCGTCCACCAGGTACCAGTACACCTACCTACGTACGTACCTACCTACCGCGGCGGCGGATTTGAACCAAGCGGTGCAGCCTCGGACCAGCAGCTTTCTGATGTCGTCACTTCGCACACCAAATACGGTGCAGTGGAAGTCCGTGATCGCCACCAGGTACCACCACCTGTGGCGGGGCGGCCACTCTCGGCGACGTGGGGCCGCCCCACCACCACCGCGACGGCGGGAGGGCGATACAAGTAACACAACAGGTGGGGGCGCGATACAGGGGTACTTCGACGGAGATAGACATGCGGTCGGCAGCGGGCGCTGGTGCAAGGCGTTCCCCAACGCCGCTGCATCCATTCCGAGCACGCACCCTCGGGGTCGATGTCGTCGTGGCGATCGCCGAGCCACTAGCGCCGCCCCCCCAGCCTTCTCGGCCGAGTTCGCCCTTCAAATTTCGAATTTTCAAACGTGACAGCGCGGCAATCCACCAATCCGTGGGCGAGAAAGGGCAGTCAATTGTAACGATACAGTGCGGTACTTCGAAGTTTTCCCCCTCGCAGCTCGTTTTATTCCAATTCGATACATTTTCCTTGTCATTTTATTCCAAAACGGAGATGATACAGCCACCACCCACTGTTGTGACACCGGCCGAGGGACGCCACGGAGACGCCGACGGCGCGGGTCGTCACGTCCTGCGGGGTTTACTCGCGGGGGTGGTCGGGGCGACCGGTGTGGCCTGGTGTGCACGACGGCGTCGACGCCACCGCACGCCACAAACATACTATCGTGATGGCATCGAACGCGGCCGAGGCAGCGCCGTGTGGCATCGCCGAGGCTGGCCCGCTCGCGGGGGCCACATGCGCCCGCTCGTGGCTGTATACAGAATCAAAACCATACAATCCACTCTTGATGTTTGTATGGTGGTCGTCCCGAGCTTGGTTTTCACGGGGCCATTTGGGCATAGAAAGCAACAACGGGGTCGTTTCATTGTGTGACTTGGCTCGCAGACACCGTCGTCGTCGTCGTCGTCGTCGGCGCTGGATTGATGGAAGGTCACGACGTCCATCATGGCAGTGCTGTGGAGGCCAAACCGGACAGCGTATTGTCGCCCAAGCAGCAGGAGCAGCACCAGTATGGCGGCGATGGATCGTCGATTGCGGACGGCGCGGCAGGAACTAGTAGCGACGGTGCGGCAGCGGCGTTCACGTGCAAAACCAAGGGCTGTGCGACGTCCGTAGCCGCACCAGACACGGCGTGCAGTCTCCATGGCGCACGTCCGCGTCGGACCCGGCCTGCATCCTCCCGAATCAGCCATGCCACATCCCCTCCGCCACCACAAGCACCAACCACGAGAAAGTCGGCGAGCAGCAGGTCCAAGGCGCCGCTGCCCCAGACTCTAGACGCGCTCCCGACCGCCACGATTGAGCTGACCGGCGACGCGTCGGCGCAAAAGTGCTCGTATCATGACTGCCCCAACCGCGCCAAGGTGAGCCAGTCGTACGGCATCTTTTGCAACCGTCATGCGGTGGTGTTTCCATGTGGATTCCCTGGCTGCCGCGATAAAGCGCCAACGAATGGCACGCGTTGCCCCAAACATCAAGAGCACGGCACGACCATGCTGGACGAAGCGCTGGCCGTGCGCTCCCAGAGCATTCCCGTCTGCCGCACCAAGGGATGTTTCAAGAACGACCAAGGGCGAGGGTTCTGCCGCGGCCACGAAAAGCTCATGATGGCGACGGGGCAGCTCCCCCACGCCATCAACAAGCGCCGACTCAACAGCGCGTACACCATGTGCTGCTACCCGAACTGCGGCAAGCATTCGCAACGCAACCACTTGTGCCGGATCCATGGCAACGACCTCATCAAGCAAGCTCAACATCTCGTCGACACCAAACAGACCACGCAATCGTTTGAGGATACACTCGCGTCGCTGCAGCGCGAGCTCCGACGATGTACCCACCCGGACTGCGACAAGAATGCTCAGCGAGACCGCCTCTGCACGACGCATTACCATCTCCGTGGCCAGGCCGAGAAGGGCCTGGATGCAAAACAACTCACGTCGATGGCGCTCACGGACGCATCGATGTCCAAGGAAAAGGTACTCAAGTTTTGCTCCGAGGCGCAGTGCACGCAGCCCGTCTACTGCAACTGGTTGTGCCAGCCGCACTACGAGCAGCGCGAGAAAAAATCGGGACACAAGCAGCAACTCGCCAAGCAACCCGCCGCCGCGAGCCAGCACATCGAGTCCGCTGCCAAGTCCAGCAGAGTAAAGACGGACTACCTCACCGCGTCTGCGTCCACGACGGGCATGGTGGACCTGTTGGACCATCATCATGCATCGTCGTCGGTGCAGCAGCGCGACCACCACTTGTACGCGGATGCGCTCAGCTTGCACGACGAGTATGGCAAGAAGCTGCATGAGCAGCCCCACCACCACCACCACCACCACGCTCCATCCGACCAACGACATCCGAGCAACCCCACGTCGTACTGGGACCCGCACCTGTCTTCCCCCGCCTTTCCGTCGACATCGCGCCACCAGCTCCATCCGTCCAACCCGCTCGCGACGTCTGGACTGACCCGGTACGGCTACCTCGAGTACAACGACGCGCCATCGACCGTGTTTTTTCAAGACGCGGCTGGGTTCCCTCCGTCCCGCACGACTTGTGCCAACCCGACCTGTTCACGGCAAGTTCTCGGCAAGGGGTTGTGCGAAATGTGTCTCGGGGTGCCGCCGCACGTCCATTTTCCGTTTGCGTCGTCGTCGTCCGCAACGTCGGCGTTTGATGTCAAGCCACCGCCTTCGTCGACTTCGTCGTCGGATCATTTTGCGTGGACGCCGTCCACCGGGTCGTTTCACTTCAACGACACGACCAAGCCGCCCCACGGATCGACACATCACTTTGCCAGCACGCCGTCGTCTTCGCGCACGTGCAACTTTGATGAGTGCCAGACCGTGTCCAAGGCGCCGCTCTGCCTCGTGCACGCGAACGCAACGTTGTGCGTCGCCCCCCTCTGCGAAGAGATGGTGTCCGTGCCAGGCTTTTGCACGGACCATGCCCTCGACAATTCGTGCGCGGTCCCGGGCTGCCACATGGCAGTCCTCGGCTCGAACCCCACAACCTGCGTCCATCATGTAGCCGCCACCCGCTGCTCCCACAGCCAGTGCTACAAGTACGCGACCAAGACAAGCAATGACGTGCATTGCACGGTCCACGACGTCGGCATGATGGGCGTCATCGACCACTGCAAGCTGTGCGAAATGTACGACATGGCGTGCCCGTTGGTCGGGTCGACCACAGCCACCAATTCTTCCTCCCGCCCCAACACATCGACGCTGGCCAAAGAAAACACGCCGCACAACTCGGCGGCCGCGCCGCACTTTACGACTCTCAGTGGCCACAAGCTGTCGTTGTAGCGAGTTTAACACAGTCGACATGTTCACCCTCGATAGCTCCAGTCTCGACCCCGGCCACCGCCTGCACCGAGTGGTGGTGGATGCTCCAGATGATGGGAAATTGCAGGGAAGTGCTGCTCTCTACACCGCACTTCGGACTGCGACGACACGAATCATCCCGCCCATCTCCAACCCACTCAACCTCGTTACCCCCGTTGGCAACGTCCAGGTACCGTCGTCACACTGATATGCAAGACAACGACGTGGTGCGCCATCGTCGTCGTGCGGGTGAAACTTTGACGCCTCGGCTTGATCGGTCGTTGCATTCAGATCGGGGATTCTTTACGTTCAGCTGGGCTCGAATGCTAGGGGAAGCACGACCGCCAACATGGAATCTCCTGGCGCAGCCCCACGAGCCAGTGTGAGTCGGTTCATCTGGACCGATGCGCATTGGGAATGGAGCGCCAGGTGCTCCAGTAGCATCGCTTGGCATCGCCGTCCCGTCGTCGATGGATGCATGGCAAGTTGTCCCGTCGAAAGCGTTGAACGGTGTCCTGCCGTATTGTGGTGGATGAATCTTTGGAGGAGGGCAAGCGCACCATTGCCGCGTTACTGCGGGACGAGTTGGGATGACGTAGCCCGGTGGCTTGGACGCTGCATGGCTGATGGGATCTTGCGTTCGTCGGCAGTCGTGAGGGTTGCAGACGGGGACACCACGACGGACGGGCCAAACACGAACCGAAGGAGCGACAAATACGTCGGCTTGAAGTGGGCTGGGCGCCTCGATAGAATCACCGACATGGCTACACAAAAGAACAGCACCTACGGTCGACGCATTAGACGGTTGCAAAGTCACATGCCCATCGTTTGGGTGCATCTCTCTCAGACATACATCGGCGTGCCGCCATCGAAGCCAACGCGCGATGGCTTTGTGTCGTTGGAGAATGGCCCACACAACATCAAGCCCACGCACCGCCGTGTACAACATGAGTTCGTTCCGTCGTTTCGGGTCTTCGCAAAAGAGGCTGAGCCCCGCCATGAACTAACCATTCCATCCATCGTGATCCTCAAGACAAATGCGCAGTACCCCGCCAAAGAGTGCCGACAGCGAGTAGTCTTCGTGGAAACTGTTGCGGGTCGCACACAAAAAGACCTTGACAAGCGCCTACGTGGCAAACGACTTGAGCCCCGTCACCATGCATACCACACACTGGAGAAACGAGATGGAGTTGTACATGGTGGCCCGTGGTTGAATGCGACGGTGCCTACCTGGTAGGACGACAAGAATGCCGACGACCGCAGCGTCGCGAGCGCGGTTTGCGTCAGCGTTTTAGCCGGGGCCGACACCAACTGGCGACGCTTGAATAACAACAGGGGCGTAAAGTGCACAGGAACATACAAACGAGCAGCGCGGACGACACCGTCCGTGATCCAGTCCTTCACGGCGTGGGCCACGCATGATTCCCTACCCGATCGAGTCGAGATAAACCAACTTGCCGATCGTCTTGGAACGTACAAACGAGCAGCGCAGAATCAACCTCTAACGTACCGATGAAAGTGGGGCTGGCACGGAGTAAATGCCACAACTCGACCGGTGGACGCATCGATGTCGCCGCGGTGCCGTCGCCGTAGCACATAGTCTGTGCCGTGGTGTGACAGGTTCCCGGCATGGATGATAAAGTTGTAGTAACTCTACAAGTCGCACCACCGCAGTCAATCGTACCCGCTCCCGTTTGAGCCATGGTGATGGGCAAAATGCAAGTTTCTCGACGCAATGGAAGCATCTGCGCATCGAGCTCCATACATGCACACGAGAAGAATGCCATGTCGCACCTTAGGCAGGTACGACGGGGTGTACGCCGCTGCGTAGATGATGGGGCCGTTCGCCAGCGCAAAGAGCATCTCGGTCGAGTACGTTGTGAGAAACGGGTGGTCGTCAAGCACTTTATCGATCCCAATACGTTCTTGCCATGATGCGTGGCGGAGGTAGATGTCGAGCATGCGAATGAAAATGTAAAGCGAGATCACCGGCCGCCGCGACGGAGTGTCCAGGAAGAGGCTCAGGCCGCAAACGGCACCGGCGATCGCCTTGTGCGTTGCGTCGTCTGGTGTGCACGGCCCACGGACATAGTTTAAGACGATTTCTGTCGCCCGGTACGACCCAACGAGCGCGCCGACAAACCCACCGAAGCGAAACGTGTCGCTTTGAGACAACAGGCGCAATGCGTCTGCGTACGAGTTGGTGTCGTCGACGCCCCATTTCCGTGATGCAAGAAGAAGGGCTGTGAAGGCTTTCGCGCCGTAAGCGAGGACGAATGCGCGAGCACCTGCTTTCAACGCGCCACCAAGCTCCGACAATTCGGTTGTCAGGGGTCCTTTGAAAGACGATGGCAGTGGACGCGTCACCAGGGGAGCAGCTGCGATCGACGATGCCGACGGTGGTGGTGGAGGAGGAAGGACGTCATGGTACTGGCGATGCTGCATCTGAAGGTTGTGTTGCTCGAGGAATTCCGGCGTGAGTGGGCGGATATGCACTTCAATTGGAGGAACTGGGCTGTCTTGATCAATGGCAAGGCCAACACCATCGTCTCTATGTTGCAGGTAGTCCACGTCGTCCTGGCGCGTCTCGATCTCGTGCTGCAAGGACTGCTTCTGCGCGTCTTCGCCAAACACGGCCGAATACACCCGTTCCATCTCGCTGGATCGCCTGTTGCGTCGAATTCTTTATTTAAGGGGTTTTCCTTACATAGGGCATTTGGTTAGCCAATGAATGTCATTTAAACATTGTTGAACACCCAATCCAGACCCGTGAAACATACGGATAAAGGATGTAATATCCGGGTGATCTCATCTTGAATTTGGACCCACCTACGCCACATCGACGACGGCGCAGCACGAATCGTCCAGCATGCTTGCTTGGTGGCTGCGCCAGTCCCTGATGCTGCAATGTTGCATGTAGTGCCAGTAGTCGAAGCTGGAGTAAGTCCAGAAAGACTTGTATTTCGTGCGCAACATGTCTTTGTCTTGACGCTGCCGTGCGTTAAAGCGCGCCATCTACAAGAGTAGGATGTGCAATTGCTATGACAACGCATTGCACACCATGTAAATAACTTAAGGCACATGCAACCATTCGACGAGCCCTCGCAATAGTAAGTGCGCCTTGGCCCGTCTACTTGAGCGTGGTGAAGACGCCCGTCATTTCAATCTCGTCGTCCGAGCTGTCGCTAGTGCGCTCGCCTTCCGGGTGTTCGACGGCAGGCGTCGTCGCTTCGGGTTGTTCACTATCGGGAATGGTATCTGAGGCGGCCGAGAAGCTGCGCGCGCTGTCCTTGTCATGCAGGAAGCTGTCAAAGGTCGCGGGAGGGCGTGCGAGTTGTTTTTGCTTGGATACATCTTCGTCAAAGTCATCGTACATATCTTCGTGGTCTTCTTGTGGAACCGAGTACCGTTGCAACGAAGAAAACTTGGACGGCAGGGCTCTCGATGTTGTCTGCAGTCCCGTCGATGCGGCATGCGGGAATTGACTCGAAGGGAACGCAGCATTCGAATTCGCCAACGAGGACGACGTCGTGATGGCACCGCGCAAACTAGACATTGGCGCCGATGACGAGCGCGGAAAGTTGTTAAAGCTGGCGGCAGCCGAGTCACTGCGGGTGGAGCTGGGGGTTGTGACGGTTTGTCGTGGCATGTCACGGGGAACTTGGTTCTCCGGCAAAATCGTCGCGTGCTGTAAGAGGAATCGCAGGACAACCGTGATCACTTGCCCGCCGCACGTCGGACACTTGGGCGACGGGTTGAACACTTTGGTCACGACCATCGAGATGAAGTTGCGGAACGCTTGCATGCGATAGTTCACAACAACTTTGGACTTGGCAGAAAAGTAGTGCTTCTTTGGGAATTCAAACGACGCGATGGCCTTGGCAATGTTCATGCAGCGAGGGCATGTCGGCATGGTCTCAAACAAATCGAGGAGGTTGTCGCGGAACTCGAGAAAGTCATTGTATCGGCGCTTCGTCTCTTGAATAACTGTAGTCGCGCCACGGCGCACCAAGATGCGGTAGTACGTGACATTGTCGATCAAGCTCGTGTTGAGAATCCACGTCTTGATGTTGACGTCGTCGAGGTTTAACGACGGGGTGGCCGACACGCGGGGAGACGCGGTCGACGACATGAACGAGCCTCGCGGTGTGGAGCTGGTTTTGATCATGACGGTGGTAGTTGCTTCTTCGCTTCGGGCTAGTGATTTCGCGTGGGTGGCACGGAAATGAGGAGTCCTTCCTAGCCTGCGACTCGTCCTGATGTGACTGCCCTCGCAATTGTCCAGCGCAAACAGAAATTGCCAAACCATGAATCTGCGTGGATTGTCAAACTGGGTGCTCCGACGTTGGTAGTATTATAATATGTAGAGGGCGTTGCAAAAAATGTAATACTTGTTGCTTTTGTTACAATACCATGCAAATTGTGCAATATGTAATACTTGTTGCTTTTGTTACAATACCATGCAAATTGTGCATTACAGAACCAATTTTATTTGAATTCTATCGATCTATTACAATGTACCACAAGGACACTTGAAATCGGTATTCTGTGCAACTTGTTGAAGTTGTGCATTCCTCCTCATAATATTTTCAATTTATTAATAGCAAAGTTCTAAAGTATAACATACCTGTGGATTCAGTATAACACTTCAAAATTTCATGAACCTCTCTCCGTTCCATGTGGAAACACCTTACCACTTGGAAAATGTATGGTTTCATGTTTTGTCAATGTATCTCACCCATCATCTGAGGTGTGTCGCCAGAATTTGAAGTACTGCCGCGCTGGATAAACTTGGTCGCGCGCGCAGAGTACACGATGACATTCCATAGACTTGGATTTCAGACGCACCATGTAAATGCAATAGGTGAAGACACTACGTGGCAAAGCCGCATTCGTGGCCTGGGCAAGTTGGCTGGTTGGCCGCCCCACGTGGCATTCTGGCAAACTGAACTAATGGACGTAAGGTCCAACGTACGTGAGTGTCCTTGTACGCCTCGTACATTACTCTCTTCGAAAAGACATTGTGTAAGGTTTTGGTAAATGTACGTATCATCCTCGCACATTACAACGACATGAGATGGGTAGAGCCGACCAGCAGCGCTCTGCCGTCAATTCATGGATGGAACCTCCCGACGAAGGCTTTAGGCTGACGGTACGATACAAGCGAAGGCATGGTGAAATGCCAAATGTGGCATCTCGGCGTCGCTGCCTCCAGGGATCGTGAAGGTCGTGGAGTTGCAAGGTGGTCGAGATTCCTCGTGATTGAGATTTCTTGTAGTGCAACTGCGGTGACTTCGAATTCAATCTTCAGCTGCGTACAAATAGCATACTAGTACGCCAGAGCGTGCGCAACACGACATCGTGCGCATTACGTGTTGGAATCTTCTCCACAATCGACGTAAGGACAAGTTCGACATCGAAAACCACATAGCTGCCTTCGTGGCTCGCCATCGGGACAACGAAAGCAGAGTTTTCAACGACCGATCGTCACCAACGCAGGACAATGCATCGCTTGAAAGCGTACAGCACTGAACATAACGACAGCACCGTGTATCCCACGAGTGACACCATGCTCGAAACGTTCATCCAGAACCAAAGTTGATGACTTCGTGTGGGGAAAATGAACGGGGACACGTCAACGAGTGTTCGTTGGACCTTGACAGTTCCCTCGCCTTCCAGACTTGTTTTCCCTTGCGAGCATCCACGTGATCCGATGTCTTCAGTGACCGCGTACACGGAGCACGAAGAGGGCATATATCACCGAGCGCGGCGGCATGTTGTGGTGGCAGGCCGTGGATACGTGAGGCATTCGAAATTCATAAAAAGCGCGCGAAAATGAAATCGTGATATTTTTTTGTACCTCATGAAACCAAGATATTCATCAAAGAAAAATAATATAATCCATGTTGAAGCTTGCTCGACAAAGGTTTAGTCACAGTCGTGAAGTAGAATTAATATGGCGCGGCGGCTGGCGGTGGCGCTGTGGAAGGCCTGGATTAGACGACGGAAACGCTGTTGGTATGCCGTAGCTCTGCATCAAGGGTACGTGCGAGGGAAGCGAAATCGTCGTCTTCATCCTCACAAACCTGTGGTTCGTTTGAGCTGATTGGCGACGATGGTGACAAAACTGGCGATCGAAGTGCTGCCAAGGGATGTCGCTGTACTTGCACCACTTTCACAATGGTCCGGCCTTTGTAGCATTCGATCTTACTTGATGAACGGCAGTACTCGACGAAGAATGCTCGGGGGACCAATGCTTCGGCAATGGAATTCATCGAAAACGCGTCGTTCATCGATGTCGCGCCGTCAAGAAGGAACATCTTCGTCAGGTCAAAGGCCGTACCTCCGCACACCTGGCACTTTGGTGTGGTCGTAAAAGTATGGGACATCACGTTCGTCATGAAGCGCGATAGTTGGATGCTACGCTGAACGATAGCTCCATTTGACAAGTGAAGGAGCTTCTTTGGCGGAAACGGAAAGCGATCGAGCATTCGAGTATAGCTCACACATCCTGGGCACCGATGCCTGGCAAACTTGACGCACGTGTGCAGGTTGTCGCGGAGAGAGAGGAACTCCGAGTAGCTGTGTTCGACGGCCCACTTCGCTCGAGTGCCCACGTGCAGTGCGTTCATGATGTACCTGGTCTTGCCATCTCGCTTGCAGTGGTCAACTATGAACACCTGGATCGTTGACACATCTGATGGACGTAAAACATCCGACGCGATCTGCATGTTGCTGTGGGGAACTGCACCCGCGCAAGAGTGTGCCTCGCGGGTGGTTGTCGTCCAAGTGGTCGATGGAGGTCCGCGGCGCAAGCTCTTGGTGTGGTATATTTTTGACTTTGTAGGAATCGTCCGTTTGATTGGTCGCATATTTTTGCAAACTAATGCTGATTGGTCAAAATCCTCGAACTCGAGAAATGGCGTGCCGTTGAAAGATCGGAAGATGCAGCGTGTGACAGAGTGCCACACGAACGCGCATTGACTGCCCGACCCATCGAGCGCTTGAATGGACTTTGGAGGGTGGATTGTGTGCTTGCGGTGCTGCAAGTGCCATGGACATCATCCGTTAAGACTTGGCACTGGGACAACGAGAGTTTCAATCGACTACAGTCTCGCTCGCGGGTTCAATTCCTTGCGATTAGAATGCCTATTGATCATGGATTCACCGCGGCCGCCATTGCTCGTCGGCCTGCGTCGTGGATGGCGGTCACAGGAATCGCACTCGTAATAACGGCTTACCTGAAATTAGTGTCAAGTAGTCACTGGTCACGACGACGCATGGCAGAAGAAGATGCATGCACGACGAATTCGCACTTGCATGGATTCTGCTGGCATCATCTTTACTGAAGCAACTTGGATCGTCGAGGGTTAGCAGCCCCCATGGCTTTGCATTTCACGACATGGTTTACAGTTGGGCGACTGACGGGTGAGCGAAGTGGCAGACGTGCCTGTCACCGCGGTTTCCACCTTGCCAACGGCTCCCCAGAGTACGGCATCTCCATGCTATGAATCTCAAAGGTACATTCAAGTTTCGGTATCATGCGACACGTACAAGTGGACCAAGCGATGCGTTTTTGCCGGACAGTTGAGTGCGTCGCGGTCAGGGGGTCAATGCAAGGTCGTCTCCATTCCCTTCACGATGCGCTACTTTAGTAGAATGCACTACGTACTCGTTTCGGAATCGAGTTTGAGGCCGGTGAACTTCACGCTCAGACACGAACGGACGGTGGACACGGGTCGTCGTCGCAAATCGTGGGACGAAGGCATCGCAGCCACATGATCTGTGCAGCCATCATGGCGGATGCGACAAGAATTCGAGGTAAAGAGATGGCATGCATAGCACAATACATTGCAGCATCATTCGCTTACATCTTTGTGAGCTCGGCATTCCCGGCCACCAACTTTGTGGAAAAAATATGTGCTCGTCCCAAACTATTTATGTGCCGCGTTTGCGTCCACGACCTCGTGCGAGTCCATGTTAGGTTGGTTTGGGGTGTCTCGGATGATTGCAATCCGTTTGCTTCGATGTCATTGCATGTCGCGGACCATTCTAATGTGCATTCGTGGCAGCATCATGAGGGGGAGGTAGCGCTTGAGTGGCCTTGGCTTGTCGTTTCGCCCCCACTTTGCCCAAGAGCCCCAATTGATCGATCTGGTCAATGCGACGCCGCTCGAGCGCTTCGACGTACTACAAAACGAACAAGGCGTTTTGAGTCATGCAGAACGACCCATCAACACTGCCTGGGAAAACGTGAGCGTCAGGACAAACTCGTCGTCGCGCAGCTGCTTGCCAAATAGCGCTTCCATTTCCGCTTCCATGTGGTTGCCGTACTTGAGGAACAGCATGTGCATTGCGTCATCCATCGATACCTGCACCGCGATGAACGAGAGCCACTCCGAAAGACTCGTCTGCATATCGGACCTTGCCGGTGCACTCGCGGTCGTACATGATGAAGCACGTCATGTGGAAGAGCAACGTCGGCTCGAGGTACGTCTTGTCGTGCTTGCAACGAAGGAACGACCGGTTGTACTCGTCCCACGACACGGCGCCATCCAAGCCGTCGTTGACTTCCCACACAAGATCGTCGACTTCGTTCGGACTCAACGGCATCCCAAGTCTCTCGAGGACGTCCGCCAGCACGTCCTTGGTGATTCGATGCGTCGTGGGCCATTCGTCTTGGGTACCTGGTACGGCTCGAGTGAACATACACAAAGATGACACGTCCCGCAACCGCCGCACCGTGCAACTTGTTGCGCTCGGCCACGTATGCTGCCTTGATGTCTTCCAGTCGCTTCGTTTCGCGCGGGTTTCGATCGTGCGCATTGCCATCCAACGACGTGTTGCTCAGTGATCCGTGGTAGAGCTCGGCGAGCTTGGCCTCGACTGCCTGTTGGACGCACAAACGTTGACGTGAGTTCGTGCACCGAGTCGGAATCGTATCAACCTGCAACTTTCGAGCCAGACGCTTGTCCGGGATGTCGATCGTCAAGATGCGAAACACGCGTTGCAGCTGCATGTGCTCTTCCAACGTCTCGTGGGTGTCTGTCGCCGCCATCGCGTCCAACACCGCGAACGACCGTCAAAAGTGTAACTGGTGCGGCCGCATGAAACCGTCGACCGCTCGACAGAGATGCGTTGTCGCATCGACTCATGAAAACATTGGTCGCCATGAAGCGCAAGTTTGGTGCCGACTATGGTTTCGTTCCAGAGGGGTACCTCTTGCCATCCCAGCGGGACGTGTTTCTGCGATGCCTCGACCGCGACATGTTGCTGTCGCAATCGCTTTGGATCGTCAAGCCACCCGCGTCTGCATGCGGGCGAACACCGACCGTGACGCAGTGGCGAATCGAGACGTCCAATCTATGGCTGACAACGCCGAAGATGCACGTTCCGAACTCAGCATGGTGCGGTTCAGGTCGTGAAGCCCTTCACGGTGCTTTTGGCGCCTCGACAACCCTCATGTGATCCGATTGTTGTCGACAGCCTCGCCGACCTGACTGGTTGGCCATGAAGGTGGCCCACGCGGCCATGGCGAAAGTATACCCACGAGTTGGGAAGCCGGCAAACGACGTGTGTGGTGGGGAAGAGAGAAGATTATGGGTTCGATATTACGTTGCATACTCTGGCGCCAGGCCGCGTTTGAGCGCTTCAAACATGTCGGTGCCGACGCCGGCCTTGACGAACGGGGCCAAGCCGAGTTTAAAATTCCGCGCGACTTCCTCGGATGCGTAGCTCACGTTGTCAATGCCGGCCGACAGCGCCGCGACTTGGATCTTGCACGCATGCACAGTGTAGTACATGAAGAAGAACGCTTCCGCGATCGTTCGACCGCCGGTCAAGAGGCCGTGGTTGCGCAGGATAAACACCTTGTTTTCCGGGCCCAAATCGGCCTTCAGTCGGGGCTTCTCCTCCACAGACACGGCAAGCCCTTCGTAATCGTGGTAGCTCACGCCGCCGCTCATCGCGACGTGGCTGAGTTGCGAGATGGGCAGCAACCCACACTTCATCGACGACACGGCGGATCCTTCGACAGTGTGGCAATGCATGACGCATCGCATGTCATGGCGAGCTTCATGGATCGACGAATGGACGACGTAGCCGGCTTGGTTGATGTCGAGGCCAGTAGACCCTCGGTTAATGTAGTTGCCGTTGATGTCGATTGTGACAAGTTTGCTGGCCGTCATTTCGTCGTAGCGGATGCCAAGGGGGTTGATGAGGAAGTGGGCGCCTTGGACGTCTTCATCGGCCGCGTCGTTGGGCACGCGGCATGTCAAGTGGCCATAAATGACTTCGTCCCAACCAAATTGATGAAAGAGGCGGTAGGCGGCGGCCAAGTCGACGCGAAGCGCCCACTCGGCATCGCTCACGGGAGCAGGTAGATCGTTGCGGCCCATAGTGTGCGTGGCAGGCGTTCAATTCCCAGATGAGGCCAGGTTTCTTCGACGAAGGCGGCACTACGATGACACAACGCGCCAGAGACAAGGGCCATCCCGTCGCCGTGGTTTTATGTCCACCGATGACGTGGCGCCACGACATTCCTCCGAGACCCATCCCAAGTGCAAAAACACGAAAACGAAGTCATCACGACGGCATTTGATTGGTCAGTGACTTTGCTCTTGCGAAACGTGTGTACGAAACGTACGCCGACCGACGATGGGTCAAGACGAGTGGCGGAGACAAGCCCGCTACGCGCGGTCCCCTCCACGATGACTCGTCCTGCGAAGCTGGAATGCGGGATATCCAGGCCCAGTGGTGAAGCATATGCTCCGACCAAGACGAACGCACGATGATACCTTTCGATCGAGCTGCCTGGCCGCCATCAACCACGTCCACACCAAGCTTCCGTCACGTGGCGCATCAGGAGCCTGGCTTCGGCATATCCGCGAGTCTCTGGCCGGTCTTCCCCTCGCTGGACGATCTTCGCGTTCGACATGGTGAAGTTCGGAGCCTTACCGGAGCTCCTGATAACTCTTCGAGTAGGCGCTGCCACCCGCGACGCTTCTACGTGAACTCCCTCCTTTGTGCGAGCTGAAAGTACGTTTTTATGGACGTGTGGTGGTATTTCATCACTCTTTTTCACAAAATTAGGTGGCGTAGTCCAAGGGAAGACCGCGCTTCAACGCATCGAACATTTCGGTGCCGACGCCGGCCTTGACGAACGGGGCCATACCGACTTTGAAGTTGCGAGCGACTTCCTCGGATGCGTAGCTCACGTTGTCAATGCCGGCCGACAGCGCCGCGACTTGGATCTTGCACGCATGCACAGTGTAGTACATGAAGAAGAACGCTTCCGCGATCGTTCGACCGCCGGTCAAGAGGCCGTGGTTGCGCAGGATAAACACCTTGTTTTCCGGGCCCAAATCGGCCTTCAGCCGGGGCTTCTCGTCCTCTGACACGGCAAGCCCTTCGTAATCGTGGTAGCTCACGCCGCCACTCATCGCGACATGGCTGAGTTGCGAGATGGGCAGCAGTCCGAACTTCATCGACGAAACGGCGGATCCTTCGACAGTATGGCAATGCATGACGCAGTGCATGTCGTGGCGGGCTTCGTGGACGCACGAGTGGATCACATACCCTGCTTGGTTGATGTCGAGGCCAGTAGACCCTCGGTTAATATAGTTGCCCTTGATGTCGATTGTGACGAGTTTGCTGGCGGTCATTTCGTCGTAGCGGATGCCAAGGGGGTTGATGAGGAAGTGGGCGTTTTCGACGTCCTCGTCGTCGGCGCCACTGGGGACACGGCAGGTCAAGTGGCCGTAGATAACTTCATCCCAGCCAAATTTATGGAAGAGGCGGTAGGCGGCGGCCAAGTCGACGCGAAGCGCCCACTCGGCATCGCTCACAGGAGCAGGAAGGTCGTTGCGTCCCATGGTTTGGTTGAACAGTGCCTCCACACCTGACGTCAGTGATTCCTAGTATACTTCATTAAGGTAATTGAGGCTCCGACAACCTTCAACGCAACATACAACAAATACAACCGGATAACATTATCCGGTCCGGATGAATGGAAATGCTGACTACAGCACTTGTAGGAGTTTGATTTGGCAGCATATGATGGAAATGCATTGATTTAAGGAAATAAGCTTGACGTACGCTTGATTTTATATGGCGGGACAAGCCCCAGACCGAACACCTTATCCGGATACATTGCATTGGCGAATCCATCATAACCAAGGGCGGCAAACCCTGGTTTTTTCCAATCGGGTCTTTTTCAAGTTTTAATATAAAACCCGATTGTGTCGGAAAATCGGGTTTTAATACTGCGCTCCTTGTTGAGAGGTGGGCAATTGGCAGTTTCCATTGGACTTGTGATTATGTCCGACATCGTTGTGGAGGCGGAGGCCATCGACACCGAAAGCGACATCGCCGACGACAGCAATATCAACGCTTATCCTAGGAATGGCGCAGGCGGTGATCCATTGAACGGCAATGGCAATGACGATGTTGCTTCAGAAGGGCGCAAACGAAGTCGGCAAGACAGTGACCTGTGGAGTCTCTACACCGACGACGTTAACCCGTACCAGCACAAATCGGCCCTCTCTGTAAGCACTGCCGCTTGCTCATGAATAAAACCATGGTTTTAATTAATACCCAGGAATCGGGTTTTAATGATTAAAACCTTAAACCCGATTTGTCAGGCGAAAAAAATCGGGGTTTTATTAATATCACCCCTGATCATAACGCCGCGTGCATGCGAGACGAGGGACGCCATGGGGATGTTGAGGCAATGGAGACGATAGAGCGAATGGAGATATCAGTGTTAATGGTACATGTACAGCGGCTTTGAGTAGGGCGAGTCCCAGTTGCGATCGAAGATCTTCTGGAGGGTGTCGATGATCCCAGAGTGGTCCGTGTTGAAGCTCGTCCCGGCCGTGTTGTAAAAGTACCCCCATTCCATGTTGCTCGTGCCGACGTTGGCGCGATTGTCTGTGACGATGTACTTGGCATGGTTTACTCGTGAGAACGCAGGCCATTTATGGCTCGCACCGGTGTCGTCCCACCCAGGCACTTCAAAGAGTCGCACGGTGATGTTGCCGAGGCACGCTCCGCCTGCGCACGGGCACGTCCTTGCCTGGGTCTCTACGATCTTCAAGTGCTTGATCATGACCGCGCTTGTGTGCGCCCATCGGCTAATGAGGAGTCGAATGACCACAGGCCGGGCATACACCACTTGCAGCATCGCGTCGACGAGGTCGGGCCAGTAGATGGACCCGTGGTCGTGCGAATCGATGGTGTAGGTGGCATACGGGACGAAGTCCATCACGCTAAGGCTCACGGTTTTCCTCGCCTGTTGGATTGTATAAATGAGTCCGTCGAGGTCGAACGTGCGACTGGATGACGTGGCCGCTTCAGGAGCCGCCGTCACAAAGGAAGTGGCCCGCTCCCCATTCCAAACCGTTGTGATTTCGTTGTCCTTGTTGAACTGGGACGTCAAATAGGTTGCGTTGAACGGGTTCGGCTGGCTCCATCCCGACGGTACGAGCGACGACGTCCATGGCGGCACACGCAGCACCGCTTGAAATTTCTCGACAAACGTGTCTACGGGCTGCCAGATCGCCAACACACCCGTGGCATCCATCGCGTCGATGAGGTGCGGGTCCGACCAGAGCCACCACAAGTTGAACAAGCGTTGCATGTCCAGAACGATCGCGCGAGTCTTCTCAATGAGCACGCCGACTTCCATCACTTGCGCGAGCGATTTCCAGTCCATGTTGGCGCTACCGAGGTATGCGTGCTGCTGATCCACCAGCACGAGCTTCTGGTGCATAATGCCTCCCCCATACCAATACGCAGCATCCCACAGACGAAGTTGGATATTGAGGCCGTCAAGCTCTGGAAATGCAGCAAACGTCGTAGAACCAACGATGCGCACCTACGATTCGAAGGATAAGCCAAGCGGTAAATGGAGGTAAAGGCGTAGACAGCACACCATGACTCCTCGCTGAACGGCGCGGCGCAAAGATGCAAGGACAGCGACGCCCCGATCCGCGCCAAATGCCTTCATTTGGTCGGGGGAGAAGGCAGTGTGATCGGCAGCCCCGAGGAGGTTCCAGTACATCGCGCAAATGTCAATTTGCCGTACTGCACTGTCGAAGAGCAGTGCTAGTGCTTCTGCTGTGCCAATTGTGTTGGGTAGAGGCGCCAGGTCGAAATCTCCCACTGGAATGCTCTCGGCAATGCGGATGCGACTGCACGTGCCAAACGTTGGGTCAACGTATGTGAACACGCCTTGTGCAGGTAGATCGTTGAGCGGTCCTGAGGTTGGAACACTTGATGTAATTGGAAACACACCGCTCGTTTTGTTGGCAATGTCCGACGTCGCTGGAGCGACCGACGTCGAAGCGAGCGGGACGCTTGAAGTTGGAGCAAAGATGGCAGTGGCGATGGGGGTTGGCTGTAACGTGGCCGTGCTCGGATGTGCTGATGGCAGGACAATGCCCGCATTCCCTCTCTTCCACACTGTTGGTTTCGTGGGTTCGTCTGCATGCACCAATGTGGCCGCCGCCAGCAGAACCAGCGCGGCCACAGTTCTGGCGATCTTTCGCACTGGCATAAACGAAGAATGAGCATCGCTGCCCTGCTATACTTGACATTTGTATGCTGCCGGGTTCTATTCGGATATATTTTTGGTCTTTTGTGTCGAAATGGTCGAACGCAATAATTAATTGAGACGAGCTGTCATGCTTCTTGTTCGATGACACTGCGGAGGCTGCTGCTGCCAGCCTGTGGAATCGCGCTGAGCATGGTTCGAGTCGCGGGGGCGGGTGGTCCATTCGTATGAGGCGCAATCTTGGACGCTCGCTGTGATGGTGCCTTCTTCGTCGTCTTCTGCAGCAGCACAAACTCCTTGACAATGTCGGACGCGGATGGATACCAAGTCACAGCAATGGCACGCGCGACGAACGAATAGCCTGCGACAAGAACGACCACGAACGGTACTAAGGCCCACACAACAGGCTGGGCACACGTGAATTCTACCATGTCCAACCAATTGCTCCCAGAGAGCACTCGAACGTGGCTCGCGACGATGGCGGTTGCCACCCAGATCGCGACGGACCCCAGGAGCAACACTGGGTTGAACACAAAGAACCGGTGATGCACAAATACGAGCTTGACGTTCGCCACGACGACCACAAGCGCCATCACGACGTTCCCAATGAACCACATGCCCGCGCTTTCGCCGCCGATGCCGCCACTGTTTTCGAGCGCTGCCAGCGACACTAACGTGATCGTGACAGCTTCGACAATCGCGGAGGCAACCCACAGACCAAACACGCGATGGTTCAGATGCTTGTTGAGCGGTCCACTTCGGTACAGCACGGGAAGCCGCAGGATGATGTCGTCGCGTACGTCTCGGTCCATGACGGCCAGCGCGACAATCGGCGCCGCCGTCAGCAGGACGTTGTATACCTGCACGCCCAATTCAAGGTACATCTTTTGCCCCGACAGCCCCGTGTGCATCGAAAACGTAAATTGCGCGACAAGAAGGAGCATGTTCTTGTACACAATGTAGAGCACCATCTTGGCCAGGCGTTCGTAGTTGGCGCGGCCGTGAATCAGCAGCAACCTCCGAAGAAATTTGAACTGTGCCAACGCGTAGTCGCTCGCGTTTACGGCTTGCATGCCTTCTTGGCCCGAGATGCCGACGCCAACGTGCGCTTCCTGGATCATCGGGACGTCGTTCGCGCCGTCTCCGATCGAGAGCGTCCGGCACGAAGGCACGTTGTTCTTCACGAGTGCCACCAGCGCGGCCTTCTGCGCTGGTGAGACACGGCACGCCAGCACGACCTTGCATTGCTGTGCCAGCTTGAGAAAGAGCGCGGGGCAGTGGCGGAGGGCATGGTACACCGAGTCGCCGTCGATGACGAGGGCCATGGGATCGGCAGACTTGTTGCGAACCGACATCCGCGACTCGGACATCGTCATGTGCGACTTGGTCCGTGATCGGCTGCGCAGGCTTGGCGCACGACTGCGCATCGACGGCCCTCGGGACAACCCGTGGGACGACGACATGGAAGGGCTACAGACCGAGTTGGCTTGGTGGAGGTAGTCCGTGATTTCCCTGGAGACGGCGGCGGCTGTCGGACATTTCTTGGCCGTCAAGGTCGCCAACCGCATGGACTGCTGAAGGAGGTTGCTGGCATACCCAATGTTGATGGCGGTCTCGTCCTTGTCCCCCGTCAGCATCCACAGCTTCAAGCCAGCATCGACCAACGTGGCGACAGCGTCGGGGACGCCGTCCTGCAGCTTGTCTTCGATGGCCGTGGCGCCGAGGAGGCGAAAGTTCACTTCGAGCGCATCCATGCAATTGTCAATTGCGTTGGGGACTCTTCCGTTCTTGAACCGGTCCATCTCGTCCAGCGACGCTTTCGCCGCGTCGTACTCGGCGCTCCACGTGGCAAAGTCGTCGCCAGAGAGCTCCTTGTACGCCACGACCAGCGTACGCAGACCTTCCTTGGCGTACGCGGTTATGTGCCCGTTGGTCACGTCGACCAGTGTTCGGTCCCCCGAGACTCGGGACGCTGCAAGCCGCGGCATCATCGCGCCGTCCGCGCCTTTCGAAAACACGTAGATCGTTTGGGAAGTTGGGGCCCGGACGACCACCGACATGCGCTTCCGCGTGGACGTAAAGTCCAAAATCGCGAGCGTGTCGAACGTGACGAGGGCGTCGTGGATGAGCACGGACGTCGCGCGCTGCGTCCGGGCGACGAATTTATACTGGAAAAACGCCGCGGCGCACACGAGCGCTTGTTCGTCGGGACTGGCGGCAGAGTAGGTCACAGAATGGGGCGCGGTGGTGTCCGACGGCGAGTGCGAGCTGTACTGGCTCGCGACATCACTGGGAGGATGCGATGCGTGGGACGCACGACCTGTCTCTGGCAGCACGGTGTGGCATACAGCGAGAACAGTCATGAACAAGTCGATGCGCTTCGCCTGATCCTCGCCGACGGCGCCGTCCATGTGGGCGTAAATTTCGGGGCCATGAAAGTTGACATGCGGCGTTGGCGCGTGGGCTGGCGCGGGCCACGACACGTCCGTGGCTGGTGTGTTGCCGCGGCCATAGGACACGCCGCCGATCGAGCACCGGCGGAATTCCATCATGTTGCATGTGAGGGTACCGGTTTTGTCGGAAAAGACATGCGTGACTTGGCCGAGCTCTTCGTTGAGCGCCATGGTCCGTACCAGCGCGGGGGTGTCCGTGTCGGGGTGATACATGCCGACATCCCACATCATAAAGCACGCTTGAAAGTACTTGACAGACGCCATCGAGATGTACAGCGAGATCGGGATGAATTGGTACATGAGGAGAAAAAAGTAGAAAAACGTCGTGCCATACGTGGCGAGCGCGGCCATGGTCGCCGTCGAGTTTGGTGGCGGGTTGAGCGCCAAGTACGGGCTACTGGTCGCGTGAAAGTAGAGCCAGAGGAGGTTTCCCGTCGCTGCCATCAAACAGCACCCGATCAGCAGCAGGATGAGGACCCCCACATACTGGTTCACATACGCGTCCAACCGAGACACTTTTGACGTGGACGGTTTGTTGCTTCGCATGATCTTTGTGTCTTGCCCGGTGCTGACGACGACGCCGTAGATCGAGCGGACATTGCGCAAGGTGCATCCACGCAGGAGCATGTTGGTGAGCGAAATCGAATGGGCCGTCGACTTGGATGCACCTGGCGCGTCCGGGTCCAGCGTCACGACGCCGCTGAAACTGTGTGTGTGGTTGTTTGGCGGCTCGGCCTCAATGAGTCCCCGCAGCGACAAGAGGTCCTGTGGCCGACGACACCTTTGCGCTGTCGCGCCCAACGCTTCGCGAACCTTCATGTTGCTTTCCCCGTCCAGTGACTTGGTTTCGACGTAGCACAGGGTTTCCACTGGCGGGTCGTCGGAATCGTCAGCATCACAGCGACCCGACGACGGGACGTGGGGTTGCACCGCAAGGATGAGAATGTCTGCGGGCACGATGTCCCGGTTAAAGAGCTGGACGTAGTTGCCAACGCAGAGGTCGGCCCATGGGGTGGGTGTGAACATGACGTCGGTGGCCTTGTCCACGGACGTCATTGAAGGGCGAAGGACGTGGACAATGCGGTGGTTGGCGATGTAGTCTGCCTCGTGCCGCTTCTTGTCTTCGTGGATGGCAAACACGGCGTCGACGACCAAGATAAAGACCAGCGTCGGCAGCGTTGAAGGCAGGCCGTTCGTGTTGGAGATCGTCTTGAAGCACTGGAGGATGCACACCACGAGGAAGTACACGTTGGCTGCTTTCCGGAACGATTCGAGGAGGAACTTTGGGACGAACGTGACTCGGGTGTACTTGTGCGTCCGGACGTGGTTCGTGACAAAGCCAGCATTCATGGACGGGTTGTGGAGCGAGATTTGCCGCCGCGGGACATGGTCCGATGACGCGTGGAAGCGCGTCGACGGGCTATGCTCACTAAATACAGGCGCAGGGCCCGGCATGACGGTGGCTCGGCGTCAAGGTCGTGATGGGTGACAGAAATAGACCGGCGCGAAACGAATACGGGAGAGTCCTTGACCAGCCAGGTTATTCCTGTCACGCTGTGGCAAGCGTGGTATGCAAGCTACGGCGTAAAGATGGGAGAGGTATATCTCGTTGGACGAGTCCAGCACGCCATCAAGTCGAAGCATGTTACAGACGATGCGGTTGTTGTAGGAGGTCTACTACAACCACACAAGGGGCACAATGGCCTTGGCGCAGTCCACGTGCTCGCGCGAGTGAGTCCGAGTGGCACAACACTCTGTGGTCCATGTGCGGCGATTGCAATCGGGCGCCGCACACTTCGCATGCCCTGGTCCCGCGCTCGCGACCTTTCGCGGAATGGTTCTAATGCATTCCAGTAGGCCATTGATTGGTCAAAATATGTAAAAGTCAATAATTAACCAATGAATGTACCGAAGACTTCATATTTTCAACGAATCAAGTTTGTTATCCGGTAAATGTTCGGAGGAGGATAGGGTACGACAGTGAATGGCATCCGTTTGCCATCTGCAAAGTCCACCATGTTCCGCACCGTGTCCGCCTCGGCCATGCGCCACCTGCACGCCAAGCGGCTGACACCTGCTGCTGGGGCTGCTTTGAGCGTCCCAGGTGCCGCTGTAAATGCATCCATCGTTCCTCGACTCCATGGGATTGCGTCGATGTCGACGACATACCCTCGGGCGTGTGTGACCCCGGCACACGTCCGCGGTGATGTCACGACTATTGCGATTGCGGTTGCCGCCGTGTTGGGTGCAGCTGGCGTGGGAAAGATCTGGTGGGACGCTTCGTCGTCGCAAACTGGCGTGAACAAGGACAACTTGGCGAGTTATTTTAACGAACTGGCCGATATCGTCGAGGAATTGGTGGTACGATCTCATACACGGATGTCTTGAAACGCGCCTCAAGTGTATTTACGGAGCTCACTTGGCATAGAGCCAAATGCCGCAACTAATGGACGCCGTCATGCAGCAAGCGCGCGCGACGGGCCAGCAAATCACGGAAGCCCAAGTGAAGGCCATGCTGGTCGAACGACTCGGCCAGGCCGTGCAAATGGCTGACCAAGACGTACGTATTGTCATAGCATGCACCACATGAGCAATACAACCATTCTAAGGTACTGCTGTAGTTGGCTAGAAAGTACAAGTTCGACCAAGAGGCCATCGAGACGGCGATGGTCGAGCTCCAACACGAGCCGAAAGTCCAAGCCGCCATTGCGCGGTTGCAATCTGTGATCGAAAACAGGTATGTTTCAACTTGGTGATGGTTGCCATGGCGAACGGATATTTTCCTAACGAACGAACGAACCAACGACCGGACAATCTCTTCTAGTCCTTTGGGGGAAACGGTCGAAGTGCCGGCCGATTTGACCGCGGACAGAACGCTCGAGATCATGACGTTGGTTCTGGACGGCGTGAGTCGCGCGATGGAGGAAGCGTTGGCGGAAGCAAAGCAAGCAGGGATGAAGAATGTCAACCTGGAAGGGCACATGTGGCAAGAAAAGTACGTCATTGTTCGTCGACGTCGTTGAAACCAACAGCGGGGGATATACTCGACGTAGCTACATGCAAAAGACGTACGCATACACGGCCGAAATTCACGAAAAATTCGCCGTCACGGAGCCTATCTTGAACGCCGCCATCAACAAGCACAGCCAAGAGGACCCGGCGTTCCAGGCGAAACTTCAAGCCCTTCTGGAAAAGCACCAGGCCAAGTAATGCGTTCGATCATTCTGCGCGTCTCGCTGTCCTGACGACTCTGTGTTTCTAGCTTTCAACGCATGGGACTGCAAGTTGAATAGAACGGATGAGGCATGCGCGACGATAGACATCTCAGGCGATCACAATACACCACCTCCCTCTCCTTCTCGTTTTGCGTCGCAGCAGGGGCGACCGCTTTGTACATCGCACAAACTGGTGTGCACGGTGTACGCGTCCTCTCCAGCTCCACTTCATTTGTGCAGGCGTTGTGGATGCGACGGATCGAATGAGCTTTCAATCGCGCTGACAAATCGAGCAATGGCAGCTTGGACGTCGGCTCGACCATCGCCAACCCGATGGCTCCTTGATCCTCTGCGTCCCTCTTGAATGGCGGGTTTCCCGAAGATTGGACTAGTAGACCTGTATAATTGCATAATATATACATTTAGAAAGGTCAATCCCATTGGCGCGCACCGTTTTCGACAACAGGAATCACTTGCTAGCATGGTGCGACCGTCGGGAGTTGTGATTGCGCTCGGCGCAGTGGCGTTGGCCATCGTAGCGCTCAGCATCTCGAAGATCTTTCACAACGAAGGATATAAGGGTGAGGAAGAAGAAGGGCTTGTTGATGAAGACGCGTCCGCTGAAGAGACCCAGGCGCCTCTGTTGACTTCGTCCGTGTCAAAGAAGCAATTGGTGCGGTACTTGAACGATGTCGCTGAGACGATCGAAGGCATTGTGGTAAGTTGATGACTAACCTAGCATCACCGACTGACCTTGTGGTCCTTGTGCAGGCCCAACTGCCGGATTTAGCTAACATGGTCATGGAGGAAGCAAGATCCATCGGCCAACACATCCCCGAGGAGCAAGTCAAAGCAATTTTGTCGCAGCGATTGGGCGAAGCAGTTCGCATGGCCGAGGCTAGCGTACGTCGGCATCTCTATCCAATACAACCATCCAACGGAGAGCTCTGTCTAGGTCGCGGAGAAGCACGCATTGTCCGAAGATGCGATCAAGACCGCAGTGCACGAGATGCACACCGACCCGGAAGTGCGTCGCGCTATCGAAAACTTCCAGCGCGTTATCGACAACAGGTCCTTTCGGCTTCCAAACTGGTACGACATTGCTCACTCTCCTTCCTTGTAGTCCACTTGGCGAAACAGTCGACGTCCCGCCTCATGTGACGGCCGACTACACGTTGACGGCAATGGCTGCCGTTCTAGACGGCGTTGGTCGCGCCATGGAAGAGGCGTTGGCGGAAGCCAAGGCGGCCGGCATGCGCGATATCACGACAGAAGCGCACATGTGGCAGGACTTGTACGAGTTCGCGCCATCGCGTTGACAAAGGGTGCTATGATGGCTTAAAAACGTTCTAGGTATGTGCAAAAGTCGACGGTGTACACACTCGAGCGCCATTCCAAGTACCGCGTGACCGAGCCCATCTTGAACGCTGCAGTCGCCAAGTACAAGGACGACGCGACATTCCAGGCCAAGCTGCAAACGCTGCTTGAGAAGCACCAAGCCAAGTACGTTCGACGGCCACCACCATTTTTGCCAGATTGTTCATTTGGACGAATTCTTTGTGTAGCTTTCAGCGCATGGGTCTGTAATGGATCGAAATGAACAAATAGAAGTAGAGTAGGAAGGGCTATCCACTTCCGTGTACAACTGCATCCAGCTTAAAAGGAATCGACATGTTGGCATTACACGGACGCTGCCTTGGCTTCATATCGGGGTTACAGAGCCCATCCTCGGCGCGACCCCGACGTACCGCTCGAGGTCAAGAGCCCACTCCCACTGAACCACTTGGTCATGAGGTGGCTCTGTAAGCCGTACACAATAGCGACCAACAACACTTGAACTAGAGTCCACCAGAAGACGAGGGATTGGTTGCTCTCAGCAGTCTTCGAATGCCGCTTATCTCGTTGGAGGTAGTACGTTTGCTCGGACTGGATGGATGAAAACATATCGTGCAGGTGAGCCAGCGATGCCTTGACAGTCTCGATATGCATCTCCTTTGTCGAGGCTTCGACAACGTCTTCGTCGCCAATGTCATCTTCCTTCGTTAACCCAAAACGCACAGAAAAGTCGACCTTCTTCCCAGGTTTGGACGAGTGTTCGTTGCCGAGACAGAACTTGTACCATCCACCACGGTGCTCCGTGTCAAAGTTGAACCCGTTGCGCTGCACGTTCTTGGACTTTTCATCAAGGGATGCCGTCGTCACGAGCGAATCGAAGAATTGCATGTCGGTCTGCGTCATGGACGGCGCCGTCGTAAACGGCCCAAACGCCGTGAGTCGAATGTCGTACAAGTCGTTCGATTCCAACACTGCGAGCTCGAGATAGGCCGTTCGCTTCGTCTTGATGTGTTCGATGAAGCACTCACGCTGTCCCCCTGGAACAGTCACGACCAATGCCGTCGACATGCCACAGACCAGCGTCGCGATCCAACCCTTCCACATGATGCTCTCGTGTGTTGTTCGAACAAGTTTGGCATTTTGCTCCGCCAGGATTGCATATTTGGGTTGAGTCCGGAAAAATATCCGTATCCGTTTTTCATGTACAAATCAAACCAGCACATCCAGCAAAAATAAGCATCGAACAATATCAGTTTGGATGGAATTTAAGATCAAATGTAAGGGTCAAACAAGTACTAGTATTCTAATTGTAGTCGAATTGCTTAGAAATTCATTGTGCCAGTCAGTGGAAATGCCAGACAAAATCATTATTATCTCCGATCATTGTGCCAGTCTGTGGAAATGCTGGACAAAACCATTGTTTTCTCCGATCAAGCTGTATCAGAATAATCACATCTCTTAAGAAATACTACTCTACACCCTGTAAAGTTTGTCGAATATTTCGAGTATATTGAGTACAACAATAACGTTGCTGGGCTGCTTCACGGCACCATTCTTGCTAATGTTAGTTGCGTTGGATGGAGAGGAAGCGATACTCCCATACTCACAGCAATGTCAACCGCGAATTCTGTGGTGGCCACGATCTTGATGGATGATTAACTGCAGCTTTGCTACGCCCATCGGCGGTCCGTGGTGCCAATAAGGCCATTCGAGCTGAACCACTGCTTCAGGATGTAGCTCTGCGCGCCGTACACGACGGCCACAAGCAGCACTTGCAACAGGGTCCAGTAAAACAGTCGCGACGAGTTGCTATCGAGTGTTTCGAAGTGCCGTTTGTTGCGCTCGGTCAAGTACAATTGCTCAAACTTGATCTGGCCAAAGAGCTGTTCGAGGTTGGACAGGGTCTTCCCGACGACCTTGAGGTGCATCTGCTTGGTTTCTGTCTCGGCTTCGTCTTCTTTGCCCCAGTCGCCATCAGTCGTGAGTCCGTACGCGGTATGGAACAGAACCTTCTTCTGATATGACGTGTGCGTGTTCTCGAGACAAAACTTGTACCATCCACCGCGGTGCTCAGAGTTGAAGCTGAACGCGTTGCCCGACGACGGAGTCTGGGCACCAGTGGAGCTAATCTTCGGAGGAGTGCTGACAATCGTGTCGAAGAAGTTCATGTCCGCCTGCGATTCGGACGGCGACGTCAAAAACGGACCGAACGCAGTAAATCGAATGCCATAATCGGCGGGATCGTAGCTCTCAATGACGGCAACACGGAGCTGGGCCGTTCGCTTCGTTTTCACCTCCTCATTGAAGCAGTGTCGTTGGGACGCGGGGATCGTCGTCACAAAGGCAGCGGCAACATGCAGCGCCGCGACCGCCGCGCACAACTGCGCGAGGAGCCCCCCCATATTCCGGTGAGAAGTGAATTATTTTTATTTTAGTGTCGCCTGTATTGCAATTCCGATTATATTTTTACCCTACATTCTATATGGGTGTTACGCATTAAATTTTGAGCAAATATATTCTAATAGGTTTAACGCAATAGAATGTGATATTTAAAAGAAGTGACGGATTTACTCAATTAAAGTGCGTCCGGCACAACGTGGCCACGTGGAGAACGACACTGCGTGAAGGCAGGCCGCACGATGGGAACGCAATACATGCCCTGCAAACACAATCTCGATGGCTCGCTCTTGGTAACTTTACGTTGCATGATGCTGGATGACATAGACGACGTTGCATGTTTAATTGACTTGTACTAATCGCTGCCTCACCGACTTGAACGCCTTCCTCTTCACGCAGGAGTTGTTAGTAGCATATCCTCACACATCAGGAAGACATCGGATCAACTTGTCGACCGATCTTCACAACATGTCGGCCAGGGATGAGAGTCATTCCAAGCTGCCGAACGGACGGAGGGGTACTGTCTTTCGCGGCGTATCGGTATTCTGTGGTGTCGGTGAGAATCAGGTTCTTGTCCTTGTCGAGGCAATGAAAATGGCCGACCAGTATGCGACCGTCCGTGATTTCCACGCGAAGAACTTGATCAAGCAGATACATCACGTTCAGGATGCTCTTGGGCAGCGTCATCGCCTCATCCGGGTCGCTGACGCGTGCTGTAACCGCGCCATTCGTTGACAGCATCTTGATTGATTTGGAGCGGGACGTTGGTTGTTTTGATTGGTCAAAAACAAATTTCATTTCAAACATTTTAGCCAATAGAAGTAAACTACTTACACATTCCAAAACGCAACAAGCATGGCGACAACGACGCAACCGCGCGGCGGCGATGTTCAACTGCTTCTCGATGCCAATGACAAGATGCTGCACACATGGAATGCCCTCCTGGAGAGTCGGCGTAAGTGATAGCGCTGTACGCTCTAGCGTTTGTAACTCGAAAAGGTGTGTGAATAGCTACATTGGACAAGAAGGGCGAGTACAAGGACTGGCATGTCAAGTGCGTTCGCTACAAAGAACAGATTGCACGGTCTCTGGAGCGTTTGGCGGCACTGGCAGACGATCAGGTTAGGTTGTAGACCCGGTCTCAGGACATCTCATGCCGCGAATAGATTGCAAAGAAAGATGCCAGTGCTTCCAACGTACCCGCGTCAAACCCTCCAGTTGCGCCATCAGCAGTTGCCGTCACCAACGCAGACGTATCGGCAGCGCAGCAACAGATGCACTTACAGCAGCAATTGCTTCAAAAGCAGCACATGCTGCAAATGCAAAAGCAACATCAGCAACAACACACCGCTGCCGCCGCCCAATTGCAACAGAAGAAACAGCAGCAACAACAGCAGCAACAACAACAACAGCAACTACAACAGCAACACCACGGTATGCAGCAGCATGCCGCAACTGCTCCGACTGTCTCGCCCGCAGGTGCGCATTCCTGCCAATTCAACCCCAGTCACCACCGACTTTGTCGGTCTAGGCTTTCCCCCCGGGACCGACTTGGCAGCGATGCAGCTCGCCATGAGCCAGATGATGCCCATGAACATGAACCAAATGATGACTGGGTACCCGACCATGAACGGCAACGACTTGTCCAACATGTACCTCATGGCCAACAATACGAACGGGGGAAACCCCGGCAATTCCGGCGCGGGGGCCGATCTGAATCAAATGAATCTGTTCAACTACAACATGCAAGCTGCCGCGGCCGCAGCGGCATACAACAACCAACTATACAATGCGAATTTCAACTCGGCGCTCGTCCAAAACATGCTGGGGGGCGGCGGCGGGGGGTACCCGAGTCAAATGGTGCTGCAAGCACAAATGGCGCCGTCCAACGGCTCCATGCAGCCCAGCGGCGCCGGGTTTCCATACCAAATGGCGGCCACCAACGCCACGTCCAACGCGTCCACGCAGTCAACTGGTGACCCGTCGCTGTTTTTTTCTGACATCGACACAGTCCGCAACGTCATGAACGACTTTATGTCATCGAATGAGTGATGCAAGCGAGATAATACTCCATTCTCCTTCCGGACGTTGCCTGAATGTATCATTCGTGCATGGCAGCTTCTGGTGTCACCGGCGCCGACTGCCCTGCATCGCAATGTACTCTGCCTTGAGCAGCTGATACAAACCTTCCTTGCGCTCATCGAGGCGGTGATACGAGTCCAGGCGGCGCTTGATGCTGGGGGGGAGGTTTTGGTTCGATGGGCCGATGACGCGGCCAAACCTAGGCCCAACGAGCTGTTCGATCTTTTGAGCCAAGTCGATTTTGCGCCCCCTTGTGATGCGCAGCGAGCTGTCGAGCAGTGGTGTTGTGTTCTTGAGAGGCGCTGACGTTGTTTGTGGATGGTGGGTATGATATTGTGGTTGTGGATGGCTCGGGGAGACAGTGTTGGAGGCGCTTAAAACACTTGCTGTGGCCAGTGGTCCCTTCTGCGGTTGCTGGGGACGTTGAGGTGGTGGTTGCTGCTCGTTTAAGGCAGATTGGATGTTATTGCCTTGGGGACGGGCGGCAATGTTGAAGGATGTTGGACTTGATTGGAACGGCAGTCCCACCGATGCAGAGGTCTGGTGGACTGTGGCTGAAAGAGGTGCCATGGACTGCTGTGCCGCCGTGTACCACTGAGCTTTCACGTACGGTGGCGCTAGGTTGGTGGACGAGCCTTCAACTTTTGCCACTCGAGACGCGCACGACTGCTTCAGCGTGCTGGCTGTGTTCATGTCTGAGGATGGCACGTTGTTGATATGAGCGAGGAGATGGTCATAGCTGCTCGTGGCACTGCTGGTTACCAATGCCTGCATTGCCAACACAAACTCCGCCGTTGTGGTAGGGGCGGTGCCACGGCCGCCGTACGTGTCATACTCGAACAAAGCTCGATGGCGGTCGAAGAAAGCAGCGGCGGTCGCTGTAGTGTTGGTCATGGCGATGCGGTGAGGGGTAACCGGTTCTGAAACGTCGGCTTCACCTCTAGCAGCAGGAGTTGGCAAGGCTCTATGGACGTTGAAAATGAGTGTTGCCGAGCAAGAGTCGTCTGCACTCAGTGTTGGCCTTGTAGCCAACATAGCCACGGCTGCCGCACTCAACCTGATGCAGCATCGCGAAGCACACAACACAAACAGGCTTGATACACCAAAGGATGGAGTGTCCTGTCAAGTTGAAGTAATATATTATGTTTGGTTTGGTCAAGATATCGTGCTTCTTCATCTATAAAGCCTTATCATTATAGAATACATATATTTATAATATATTTTCTAATATTGAAAATTCGGTCAAATGTTGTCGACGCGATGCCTAGCGGCATCGCACAGACTTCTGCGTGATGAAGGGACTCGAAAGCGAAACCTACCGGGTCGCAACAGCTCCGTTGGACTCTGCACGGCGACGTTAGCGGCAATAATGCAAGCCCGTGGAGGGCACAATGCCTGCAGTATTGTTTCTGGCAGGTGCGTCGCTGGTGTGGGTAGTTGCCATGGAATAGAGAGCGCCCTGGTCGTTCCCTTACGCCTCGTTCCGATCGTACTTCGATTGCCATCTTCTGGCGCAGAAGTCGCTTGCAGCATGGGGTGAAACCGCGACGATCTTTGGATGAAACCGATACGGACAGTGGGTTTTGTCGGTGAAACGGATTCTCCCTCGCATCATGGCAGCCATCGAACCAGAAGAATGGGACGATAAGCTGGTCGAGCCGCTGCTGCCCGCCCCGCCAGGAGACACGGGGGAGCTGCTTCCCCTTGACCTCCATCCGGCCGTCGTCTTGGCCGACGACGAATGCCATCAAATGGGCGGTGACAACGTTGTGCACGTTGTCGACGACCCCGATGTCCACCAACCTGTCGTGGAACTGCGCGGGCCGGACGCCCGTGTCGTATTCAGTTGCCACAATGTCATGCAGTTCCTCGTGCTGTTTGTGCGCAACCTGGACGCGTACTTTGCGCTGGACATCGAAGTCGTCGACAACACCAAGACGTACCGCACGTTTCACATCACAAACTCGAGGAGCTTGGCTCGTGTGCAAGCGTCGACGTGTCAAATGCCGCTGGCGTTCGGAAAGGGAGGGTCCTGGCGCCGCGTCTGCCTCGACGTCCACCGCATGTGCAAGGATGCATTCGGCACAAGCCATGCCGCCACGGTCCAAGTCCAAGTGTACGCCACGTGCCGCCTCCTTCGCGTGTTCTTTCAAGATGTCGACTACACCGACCCCGAGTTACCGCCAATGTTAGCTGTATTAGAATGACAGGACGCAGTGACCGTGAGGCGAGCATAGAAATTGTGGGAGACGCGGACTGCGCTGGACCGTGGTGTGTTCAAGTCACGGCGAAGGAGCATGCCAGTGCATCGAAAATATTTCCTGCCGCAGTTGAGTGGCCGGATGACAGAGAAGTCGCCTCTTGGCGCGCCCCAGCACTGCATCTTTGCGATGCCACAATAACGTTAGCTCGAATTGGAATGCACTGGGCACGCAAGGACACTACACTACTACGTCCGACATCGGAACGGATGGACGGCTCAAAGATCGATAGATTCGACAGGGCCACTTATGTGAGTGGGTGTGCACACGAGCGCATTGTCAAAGGTGACCGGCACCCTTTCGATTCAAGGCAACAGCCAGATCACGCTGGAACGACTCGTCCACGCGTCGGTAATGGACGAGGACGACATCGAGCCCGCAGCGTGCGACTGCCGCGACCGCCGACGCAATCGCGTCCACAATCCACTCCGTCGCATTGCCAAACACGCCACCGCCCACCGCGGTCAAAAACACTTTGTTGCATCCCGTGCGTTGGTAGTTCAAGACCCCTGCCCACAACGTGGCTTCGTAGGATGCTTCCAGGACGAGTTTCGCAAACGGAGCCCAGTCTCGTGCGCTGGCGGCCGAGTACCCGACCGAAATGGCCGAGCAGTACGCTTGCGACACACAGTGAATGGGACGTGTCGCCGCCACAGGCATGTACCGCGCCACAAACGGGACTTGGACGTTCCAGTGGAGGCCGATTTTGATGGCGTCCGAGAGCTTGCCACGCATGCTGTCGTCACAAAGGACAGTCGTGTTGAGTTTGCCAAGTTGGCGCGACGTCGAGTCCGTGTACCCATTGACGACGTCGAAGTACTTGTGCACGTCGTTGGCGAGCATCGCTTGGACGTCGTCCAGGTTGTTTACTTGACTGGTGGCTGTTTGGCCAGTTCTGCCACCCACAGGAACGAAGTAGTTGCGGTATACCGTGCCAGGACCGGCCGCTACACTCCCCCGGTCAGTGCAAGATATCGTCGAGCAGCATCGAGGTCAACAAGCATACCGATAGCGCATGCAGGTCCCTGCGTCAGATCTCGATTATATCGTGTTACGCCTTGTTCCGGCACCTACGTGGCGTGTAAGCACCGTGGTGTCGCGTAAACGATGCACGTACGCAGCGCGGACTCATGAATTCCAAGCAGTTTAGTTGGGAAGCCGCTTGAAACAGCGCGTCCTTGTTGTTGGTGTCGCAGTGGTCCAAGAACACATCTCGGGACGCTTCGTGTCGTACTGTCGTCTCGCCACCCACGGCGGTGTCGCGGCCAGCGCTTCGCAACGCTCCCAACGACATGCACTCGAACGTCCCAATCGTGTATGCCTTGCCATTCACTGTCGAGCGAAGCACAGTGGCGTCGTTTAGCAACTCGAACTTTCCCTGCACGTCGTCGTATGCATAGTCAAGCTCGCGGAAGCCAAAGAGCGCACGGAACCAGTCGTTGTTGGCGGGCCGACCGCATCGCGCTGCCATGATAACCACTTCCGGCGTGTTGAGATGTGGCACCCTCCAGCCATGATTGGCCGAACCTAAGCCAATCCCATACCACCGAGGGCCAAAGATGATGGCGGCGGCGGTGGGTGGCACCTTTGCCCGGTATTCGTGGACGAAGATGACCAGGTCAAGTAGTTCCATGGGAGTTGCGCCGACTATCCCGAGCATGCGCAAGAACTGGACGATGTCGAGGTGTCTGGCGGCTGTCCGTGGCGTGCGTTGTGCTCTTCGCTTGGCGGTCTTGCAACTAGAGTGGAACCATGGTCGGCTGCCCGTCCATTGACACAGAGTCCATCACATGTGTCGTACATTTCCATCCCGACGGTGCCATGCAACGTCCGCAGCAGCGCCAGTGCCGTTGCCGCCCGAAGAATGGCCAACGTAGGCGATCGGGACTACCTTCTAGTTGTTCACTGGTGTGCAGAGTTTGTAATCCACCACCACCTCGATGCATGCAGAGTCGTTCGATTCACGCCATGCTATCGAGTCGGAATGCCATGGAGAAATGGAGGGCTGAAGTTGCGGCAATTCCTGGACATGCCAGCCATCGACGCTGCGATGGCCAACGCGCTGTCTGGCCCATTCGCACGCAAGACAATGCATCCTTACTGCATCGAGGTGTATTGCGGAGGATGTTGCAGCCAACGACGGCGGCGGTAATCGCGCTTGCATGCAACGTTGAGCGACAGGATGGCAGCGTCATCACACAGCGCATTCCCCCATGCCGCCCTGATCGTCCAGCGGCACCGCCCCAAATAAAAACTTACCATCATTCGTGTCTTTCCGAATGCGAATGTAGGTCTTCACCTTGACACGGTATAGTCAAGTCAAGTCAAACAAGAATGATGGCATTCGTGTCGACGTGTGACCTGGCGATTTTGAATACAGTAGCAGCACTTGTTGATGGGGAGGTGTGCGCAACAAGTGGACAGCCACACTCGTCGAGGACTTTGAACACGGCCGACGTTGACCGCAGCATGACGAACGTGGACGTGCGAGGGAGCTCGGTAAGCGTGTGTGTCTCCAAAGTCCGTCGATCTGTCGGCGACTATGATGACGCCGAGTCTACGCCACGAAAAACCAAGCGCCTCATGGTCGTGCACAAGCCAACGATCGCACCGCAGAAGCACCACGCCATCGTAGCTGCCACGACGGTGCTTGCAAACAAAGCCAAGTCTGCATCCCCTCCAGTCTCGACAGACTATGACACTGCTGCCCAAACTACAGCCAACTCGACCACTCGCGCGACGATGGATGCCACCGATCGACGTCGAGCCGTCGAAGAGTGGAAAAACCGAAACAAGGCATGCGTGTCGACGCGATACACTCTCTACCTCGACCCTGACGCCAACTTGACCGCCGACATTCGAGCCCTCCTCAAGACGAACCAACTGGCTACGTTTTCGTTTGGCGTCGACAACCTCCGGTCCCTTCAACTTGGCCGTGACATGTTTGGCTCCGTCGACCCATCGCTCAATACTCGCCTCATGGGGACCGACCATTGCAGGTTCACGCACGAAGGCGGTGTGCTGTATATCCAGAGGCGAGGACAAGGCTGCGTGTCCGTGAACGGCGTCCGGCTCGGTACGGCAACCACACGTGGTGTCGTTTGAGTAAATAACCACATGACTTGCATCAGAGCAACGCGTACGGGTGCCTCTCCGAAGCGGAGACAAAGTGACGCTGCTGGACAAGGCCATCGTGTCGTTGGTGTATGTTGTGTCGCGCAAGTTTTGCCAGCTCCAGTCGTCGAGGCGATCCCTCTCGCGGCACCACCGCATGCACTCGATCGTACGTCGTGCGCGACCCATATCGACGAACGGGTCGTCGTCGCCACGTATGTCTGCGTCATGTGATGACTAGGCTGTGTGCGCCGCTGCACCGCTCGTGGGCCTCGACCGCCATGGCAAACTCCATCCGATTCCGGTACAACTCGATAGGACCCATCGGACGCGTCATGGTGCATGCTTGTCGCAGGAAATGGAGGTGGAACGGCATGTTGCCATGATTCGCCAATGCGCCGCACGACGACCATCCATTCACGTCGGCCTGTATGTCGCCACGTGGCCTGTCCTCCACAAGATTCTGTCGTGGGGGTCCCAAGTTGTCCACTTTATGGGCCAAGGCAACCATGAGCACGTGTACTTGGAAGATCATCTGGGCATGGTGCATCCGTTGCCGTACGTGGACTTGTATACCATGCTCCGGAAAACTGGCGACGACTCGCCCAAGCACGTCAAGGTCGTCGTGCTGGCGTACACACCGTCCCGAAAACTAGGTGAGAAGCGCAGTCCCGAGTGGTGCCAGCCGTCGTCGCCCCACCGCTTTTGGATAACGAGTGGCTGCTTGGCGCATGTAGTGAATGCGTTCGTCGCGCTTGGGGTCCCCAATGTGCTTGTCGTCAACAACGTCGATTGCATCACGTACGTAGCTCGCTCTCCATTTTGAATCGTGTTGGCTGCATTCTGCGCCAGCGACGTCCAGAGCAATTGACGGTGCTGTAGCCCATTTTATACGGCGCTGACGGCTGGGTACACTGTCCAAGAGAGCGTGGCCAAGGCGCTGACCGCAGTGGGATATGTTACCCCGACACTGCCGTCCACCGTCGAGTCGCTGTCATATCCATCGCAGGAGAGTCCGACAACCCCCGCCGCGGTTCCCCCGCTGCAGCTCTTTCCCGGTGGTTTGCACGACCAAGTTATCTTTCGGCCAAAGGTTGGCGACGTGTCCAAGGCACCGATGCAAGCAACGGCCAAGTCCCCGCGAACTGTCGTGGGGCGCCCCCTGCCGCCGCTCACTTCAGTACCGCTGCACTCTTGATGGTATTTTGAATCGTATCTCTTCGACTTGTGTAGACCATGACGTGCCATCCGGCCCACATCTTCCGCGTACGTCGAGCGCTTCCCTATCACGGTCCTTGATCGTCCTTGTTGTGTTCTCACGCCTTCGTTGGCGCAGATTTGCGAGCTCTTGACGTCCACACCTCGACTGATAACTATCAAAGGGCCACCCAAGACAGGTACGACCCCTCCCCACTACGCCCAAGTGACGGATGCTCCACGCTGGAACATGGCAGGCAAAGCGGCGACGGCAATTCTCGTGGCCCACCGCCTCGAACATCGGCACGGGATTTTGGGAGTTGGCGAGCGCATTGCGTTTGAATACGTGCTGGAGGTCACTCAACGACACGCGGCCAAGAAAACCACCACCGTCGACCTGTGGACGTACGTGCGGCAGCGCACTCGGACGCACACGACGGACAGGTACGTCGATGTCATGTCGGTCGAGATGCCCTTGTCATGGCCGACCGACTAGATCCAAGTGGCCCACCCTGATCATCCTCGTCGGGTGCGACGCTTGGCTACAAGACGAATCTGTCAGCGCAGGCTTTCGCGCGTTACTCGAGACCTGGTTTGACTCGATCGAGTCGTTGAAAGTCCTCATCACGGCCTCTACCTCTGTCACCGCCGAGCACAGTCCTGGGCAGTTTGGCGAACATGCGTACGACGGTGGCGGCGACCATGAAACCTCACAATTGTGTCGAGTAGCTACGAGTTGGACGAGTTGCGGCCACGAATGGCGCCGCACGACAACGCTGTGGCACCAGAAGCACATGCGCCCCAGCCACCTACACCGCCAACGAAAGAAGCGCTCAACAAGCGGTTCCAAACCTTGGCATTGATGTAGTACGGCATTCGATTTGCAACAGCGAGGGCAAGTGGATGGGTTGCACTATATTGGCAAAATAGTTAAATGTATGTGAGATTGAGCGGTTGCTGGTTGTCGCGCTGGTTACGCAGCCGAGACACTTCCCCGTAGAGCCGATGGCTGCGCCAGAGCGACTGGAGCATGTTGTATCGGTTCGTGTCGAGTTTGAGTGGCCGGCCGCGCTGGAGTCCTGGGTCTTCTTCGCCGTGCGAATCCACGTACGGACTTGGAAAGTACGCCACCATCGACCCAGCGACCAGCAACACACGGCATTGCTGGAGCATCAGGACCGCGCCAAGACCTCCGCCGCACTCAAATGCATGCCGCGTGCATTCTCCCATCGGCGGGTTGCCCCTTACATGAGAATAGGCGCAACACGACTCGCCACAGCAAAGCAGCGTCCCACAGACGAGGCAAAGTCCTGGTTCGCGGGGCACGCGGTCGCAGCGACGACACTTCAGTCGCACGTTGTGGCTGTACAAGTCGTCGTACTGCATCGGCAGTGCGACAAGGTCCAGCGACGTCGCATTCTTGTCGCGGAGGATAAACATGTTGGCCAAGTATGCTTCGCTCGTGTATTCGGCATGCTCACATCGGTTGGTGGCATCTTTCGAAGCCGCCCCGAGCTCATGCTGCGATGCTTTTCGAATCACGCACCATTCCCAAATCGTTTGGAGGGTGTTCAGCGGGACTCGGCTCACGTCGCGGAAGGACGGGGGACGGATCGGCAATGCAAGTGACTTGTCCGTCAAGCATCCGTACACGATGTGCATCCGACGCACGAGCAGAGCGTTCAATTCCACGATCGAGTTGACCACGGCGACATCCACGTCCGCTTTCAACCGTAGCGTTGGGTCCATTCCGCAAAGCCGCAAGACAAGCTCGACCGCGCCAACCGCTTGGGGCTCGTTAGCAGCATGCTTGCCGTGACGTGTGGCTTTAAACACGTAACGTTGCAGCGATTTCAAGCTCTTGGCGTGTGCTGCGGTGGAGTCTGTGGGTGTGGCCGACGTGACACGTGCATGTCCACCCCGGCGGGTTTGCATGCGGGCGGCGGCACCGGAGGTCATGGCTTCGTTGGCATTCGAGCCCACTGGTACATCTTGGTAAAAACTAGCTTCCCGTTGAGGCCCCGACACAAAGAACGCGCGTCCGACGCGCTGTAGCATATCGGCAGCACAAAATACCGGAATCAACTCGCCAATCGTCTCGATCGAGTCGGCAGCGACCATCGACACCACAAACGCCTACACATGACATCCATTTACTCACGTTCGACTCAACCGACACAACGTACTGTAAACGTGTCGGCCACGAGCAGTCCGAGGACCGTTCCTCGAATGCACGCGTCCAGCGACCCGATCATCTACGACCACAAGTCACACCTCTCGACATCCGTGGTATGAAACATACCTTGGTATACTTTTTGTACTCGCGCTTGGACTGCTGCACAACGGGGCAACATCGCTTGACTGTTTCGTAAATCACTTTGGACTCGCCGGTCAAGCGCACCATGCCAAACGACCACCGGGTGAACGTCACCAGCGCTTGCATGGACGCGTACTCTTTTTCTAGTGACGTCGGCCACGTCGACTCGCCGCTGTCAACGCGAACGGCGTCTGCTTCGGCCAATGTCGCAGCCACGGTGTACGCGCACGCCGACCACAAGTACGGCGCACCCATTTCAAAGCTTCCGTGGGGCTCCCATAACGCGTCCTCGTAGTATTCCTTCCAAGTCTTGAGTTTGTCGTGATCGGAATGGGTCTGGTGCACCGGGCGGATCCAAGACGAGTTGTCCGGTCGCTGGACAATGTCGAACCACGTCGGCGAGACCGCGGTGGCCGGTGGTTCCACCGGCGCAGTGGGGGGAATCATGGGGATAAGCACGTTGCAAAGTCCCTTGCACATGGGGCAGAGGAATTGCGTCATGGGGGCGTCGCCATCCACAGCTTGCATCCCGTCAAATTCTTCGCCCCGAGCCGCTTTTTCGTGCAACGTTTCCATGTACTTGTCGACGCACTTCATGTGCACAATGTGCTGGCATGTTCGCACAAACAGACCGACGGGCACCAAGTCCAGGCCATCGTCGTCTCGATCAACAGCGACAGGCGGACGGGCGTGGCGCCGGACATTGAAGCGGAACCGGCGCGCACGTCGCTGTGGCATCATTCGTATCGCGTGTTCCAGTGCGCCGCCTAACATTCGTGTCATGTCGTCATCTGCGGCGGCGCGCGCTTCGTTGTCATGACTGTCCGCCCGATTGCGCTGGTCGCGGAAATCGTCGTGCGGTGCAAGTTCGATATTGCCGTCCACGTGGTCGTGATGGTGGTCGTCAAATTCGTCGTCGTGTTCCATGTCCCAAAACAAATCGGCAAACGCCATGCGTGGAGACTCATCGCCGTCGTCGTCAGAGTCTTCGTCCGAATTGTCGTGGTGGTGGTGGTGGTCGTGGTGGCGATGTTGCGGCGGAGAATGAAATGGTGAAGATCGGTTAAAGTCCCCACGGCTTTGCAATTGCATCGCTCGGATCAACGATGTGACGCTGGCGCGGGCATTCGGGCCTTTCTCCGGATGGAGCGCGTCTGCTGCGGTCGGGCGGAACCCGGTCGACAGCACCGTCGACTGTTGCACCATGGCCACCATGCACAGCTCATCGTTCGACTTGGAGTCGTGGCAAAGCATGCACGTGGGTTTCCACTTCTTGTTCGGTACTTTTGTGTCGGGTGTTGGGGCGAAGTTTTCTTCCATGGACGTCTTTCGGGCGCGCTTTTTGTTGGTCGCGTGCGGTCCACTCGACGGCTTTCTCTTGCATTCCACGGCATTGTCCTTGACCGCTTGCGCTGGCGGATGTGGCGTTTTGTCGACGCCCATATCGTCGTCGTCCTCGGTGTCTTCGTCCATGAGTTGGGAAAATGCGGCCATTTGCTTGGCCATCGCAGCCATTGCACGGGCTTTCGCTTCCTTTTTCCGAGCTTCGAGATCCATTTCGGCCGAAGTTCCGACATGGCCGTCTTTGCCAGTGTTGCTGGCGCATGTATAGGCTGCCAACGCTGTGGCACATACGGCCGCACGACGAGGGTATTCGTTCAGCAACCACGACACAACGTGTCGGTGTTCCTTGTCATCCGAACGCTCCAATTCCACCAAGTACTCAATCAGCGGAGTCACAATGTCCCAATACGACGGTTTTTCGTCTGTGGAGGCCAATGCGTCGGACACTTGAGCGCCGTACACGAGGACATCGAGGGCAGTCGACACGAGCGCCTCCGACCACCGACTGTTCTCCTTGTTGCATCGGCGGCGCAAGACGCACTTGACCATTTCAATCGTGCTGGGAGTGACCAAGAGGGACTGCACGTTGGCCAAATGAGGCAGCGGCGTCGAAGGCGGGACGAACGGCGGCGAGGCATTCGGTCGCTCCAAGATCTTCTCGCGTGCCACTTCGTGGAGTTCTCGGTTCAAGTGCATGTGATACGGGTTGCACTGGGCAATGCTGTCCGTTTTGATCGTGTATTTGCCAGGTTCGAGTCCAGCAGGTGGCTGGAAACTGGCGACTTGCTCGAGTAGCGGCTCGAGGCGCGCGATCGGGGCTGCAATATCTTGGCCGCCCAACGGCAGTGACACGTTGTCGCTCAACTCGCTGAACGTGCTGGGTCGAATCAACAACTGGTGGACGAGTTCTTCCCGCAAGAACGCATCTTCGTGGTCGCTGCCCGTTGTCGAAGGTACATTTGTCGACAACACGAGCACCAGACGAAGCACTTCGTCGACCATTTGCAGCTCCTGCTGCTTGTCGTAAGTGGCCGTCGGGGAGACGGCAGCGTCGTCTGGGTCCGCAAAGTACGAGCGCAAGCCAAATCGGTCCACGATCAGCGCGACCACGTGCTCGGGTCCCAGAAGCAGCACACCAATCTACAACGAAACTCTAGTCAGCTTGGTTTCCAACCAGTGTGCACCTGCAGCAAAAACAAGTCTGCATCGCGAAAGTTGACGCAGTATGGCATCGCGCAATAATTGAACAACTGCGTCACCATATTCTCGTCGCCGTTGCGCCGCCACAGGTTGGCTTGAATCTGGCTCGACATGGCGAGGCATTGAAGCGGTGCATCCAACAACAGCACAACGTCCGTCGTCGATAGCGAATCCAGACCAAACCATTCGCGCCACGTGTCCATACTCGAAGTGGATTCATCCTTGGATAGCACAAGCACCTGCTTGAGCATGGCAGATACGAAGCGGTGGAGTGGAATGTGCAGCGTTGACGCCTCGCGAGGGACTTGACGGTCCAGAACGAGCACCGACGATTCCGTCGCGTCGAATAATGCGTCGCCTACCAGAGCACGAGTTGTCTTCTCCATCACGGACAGCGTCGAATCCTTGACTTGGTTAATCGCATGCATCACTCGACGCAAGAGCACGGCACCGCCGGCCCCGGTCGATGTGCTTGTGAGACTGTGGAGTACCAGTGGAAACAACGCGTGTAGCTTGATGCCCAAATTGAATGTGGCAAACCAACTGTCCGATTCGTATTCGACGTGGGGCTCGTCCCGACGACGGCGGACTTGCGCGTCGGCAAACTACACATCGAGCTAAGCAACGCATCGACCCAAAACGTCCTCGCACCTGCAACACCGTGAGACATTCCAGCCACTTGGCAAAGTTGGCTTCGTGGCCAAGCAGGTCGATGGGATTGCCATGGGCAAGAACAAATTCCAAGTGGTCGCCGGCGTGCTATGCATCACAAAGTTTGGCATAAGAGCAACTGGACGTCATGGTTGCGCTGTTGCACACCTTGTACTTGGAATGGCTGATGGCGATACTATCTGATCGAAACTCGGGGCAGGTTTGGCCGTTGGCCTTGGCACGAGTGCCCATGCTCGTGTTCAGCACGGTCGCCAAGGCATCGAGGAGGGTCGAGACAAGGGTCGTGGGGTACTTAGCAAGGAGAGACGGCACCGTGAGCAGTTGTGTCGCAAAGTCAAAGATGCTGTCGCTCGTGGCCCCCAACCCCTTCAAGTAAGTCGCCGTGTTCTGAGCATATCCGTCGACAAACGCGTCCATCATGGCGTGCTTCATCGACTGGTTCAAAATCAGCTCGTGTGTGAAAAGATTGACTTGGTAGATCGCTGACTTTGTGAGGAGGCAGTAGTTTCGGACGAGGATGTCGAGGAAGCTCGGCGCTGGCTTGGATGCAACCGTACAAGGAACTGCGAACGCCTCTGCTGTAGCTTTGCACGCCGCCGTGATGTCAGGGTATGCCCGCGCAATCGCTTCGAGCGCGTTGCCTAGACAACCTGGCAGCAGCGTTCCCCATGCCATTGAGTTGGCTTGAAATGTCGGCACCGCCGACGCCCACTCGCTCAGTTCTCGAGTTGTTGTCAGAGCGATAGACGCAAACATGACAGCGTCGCGGCTAACCCGCCATCGCTTTAAACACTGGTCGATTGAGAGGTTCCCAATGCCATTCTTAGACTTGAGAGATGTGGCCTCGACCAGCTTCGACGAGAGCGCCTTGGCGGCATGGGTTGGATGGACCCGTCGCTGCGCAATGCTGCGAGACACTAGCGCCGCGAGTCCGTCGGATATCTCACAAAGTGACCGCAGCCATTCAATTAAGGGCGCAACGCGACGCACGTCGTATTGCGCATGCGGTACCACGGACGTCGTGTAGTTTTCCATCGACACAACAATTGCAGTCGCGCGGACCAACGTGCTGGGGCAGATGTCCGTGTACCCCTCGGCGTCGGACTTGTTTGCAAACGTGATTGCCTCCAACTTGGACAAGCCAATGTTGGTTCGAAGGGCCTGGACCACCTACAGAAATGCCATAGTTACTCAGTGGAGGTCAATATCGAGGGCGTACGTCGGAAAACGGATTGATGTCGTCGCTGTGCAGTCGCGTATCAAAGACGCCGTTTTGGCCATCCAAACTCTTTTCGCGAGTCGCGGCCGCAACCTTCCATTGTTTCTTCACATCATCCGACACACGGGAGCCTAGATACGCCATGCCTTCTGCGACTCGCAGCCCCTGCTCCGACGTCGCGAGCACGTCGAACAAATGATGCACGACCGCGTCGATTAATGACCCTGCGACAAACGACAATTCCCTTGGTAGATCGTCCAATTTTGACGCGGTAGTGGAAGTTGAGGTGTCTTCGCGACCAGGGTGTTTCGTACAAAAGCCAGACTTCGCCCACGCTTCGGGGTCACCGCAGTCGCAGCAACCCCCTGCAGATGTGCGCTGGAACGACACGTCGTGACCGTCGTGTTTGCTGTCGGCAAAGCACGCTTGACACATGACGCAAGTCGAGTCGTGTTGGCAATCGCGGCAGCTGTACGCAACTTCGTCTGCCTTGAAGATATACCCACACACCTTTCTTCGCTTCTTTGCCAGCATGCGTGCTAACACAGGATTCGACAGGACGTCTCGTGGTTTGCCCAGTGCCACGAGGAACTCATCCTTGTCCTTTTTTGTCACCGCGGCGTGTTTCTTCGGTTTCCCACCCGGGTCCACCAGACAGGTCATCATAATGTCGAGTCCGCGAAGCAGGGTGTTTGACGAGACCAGCGACGAGTTCACTTGCTCCAAGAACCAGAGCTGCGCGAACTCGGCCACTTCAACGGCGGCATCCTGTTCCATCATCGCCGCCATGATCTTGAAGGGATGACGCAGAACAAAATCACATTGGTTGGCCGATCTTGTCCTAAATACCTTTCAAACTAGATACGCTCTACCAACGGGTATTCAAAAAATTCTCCCACAAATCAAATATATATTTCGAATCTAAAACCTCTCTGATTCTATGTACTATGAAAATACATTTTGATGTTTCTAGGTTTAAAAATGCATGCGAATAAACTGTTTGAAGTGATGCCCTTTTAGGTTTGATTCTTGATGAGGTATTCATTTTCAAGTTCTGACATTTCAAATCTGTGCAACACCACACAACAGCACAGAGGCAGCTTGTGTCCAAATACCGCAGCGAACTTCAACAACGTCGTCTATGCTAGATGTGCTGATGGATCGGTAAGTATACTCTCCTTGGGGTAGCCCAAAGTGGCTTATTCTCGTGCGTGGGACTGTTTTATGGATGTACCCAGCCTCGTGTCGATAAATCAACGTAGCAATGTTCTTTGACGTATCTCATGGCAATAGCTGTACGGTCGAGTTCGTCTCCAAAAGCGCTCAAACTGCTGCACGTTTCCAGTCTTGCTTTTTCATTGACGAAACATGATCGGCAAGCACAACTCGCTTGCAAAAATACAATCGAGAAACGCCGAGTTGTTGCAAGTTTTGGTCAACGCGCTTTGGAAAGCGAGTGAAGTCATCGCTCTAAGCAGTCATGCAATTACCCTGACATCTTGCCTGCTATCGTGTGGACGTTGATGTGCCTTGAGTGCCGTAGCACTCTGGATAGGTAACGGGATGGATCACATTACCAGTGTCTGTTTTCAACTCGCCGTAAGTCTCTCCAAGGATCAATACCGCATATACAACGTCGGTAAAATGCACTGAATAGGAGCACTGCATGTGGTGGCAGGAATGGCGCGGAGGAGGCTGTTGGCACGGCATGGTCGATACTTGCATACAATGCCACGATTTCTGTCATGTCGATGAATGGAGGAGATAATGCTGCTTACTCTAGAACGAGTGCAACAACGTGCGCAACGTCAGCGTACGTGTTGCGCATTCGCGGGTAATCGTTTGTTATCACGAAAGAATTGCCGCCATCAGTTCACAGTATAATGTCAAGCAATTCCCAGTGGTCCATTGGATGTGTGCCAACTTCAATTGGCAACGAGTGCTAAATATGGTCTTCTACGCTGTGGTCTTTGGAAGGCACACAAACGGCCCCATGAATCTCAGGCACGGTGGCGGGCCATTGCCGAATTTGCTACTGGAAACCACTGGCACGACATGGGACGATCAAATGGGAATTCGAGGTTGATTCATGCTGAATCCTTGAGTTGCCACCTCCACGGAAGCGAGCCACGACATGCGGCGCAGGTCAGCTACGTTATGCCATGGCAGCCGCAGCAGGTACCGCGACCCAAGCCAAGTTGAAGTTTGACATGGCAATTTTTGGTTGTCAAGACATGAGAAATTCAGCCAATCAAAATATTTCGACTTTTTGCCCGCGTCATATTGCAATGGCGACGTCGCCGCAACAAGCTGGACGGCTGGATCCGACGCCAGAGATCGACGGGGGACTTCCCTTGTCGGGAAGGCGACTGCTTCGTGAGCTATGGAGCATCGACAGTCAGGAAGAAGAGTCAGCCGCGGTCGAAGAAAGGGAAGAGTCTATTCGTCCATCCTTCCAGTCGTCCGTCTCGTCTGCGCGGAGTTCCATAGCGGACGACCAAGAAACGCGCATGTTTGCGTCGCTCGAAAACGGCATATCCAACCTGGATGTGGACTTTTCCTGTACCCCCGGGAGTCCATGCATTGTGCATGCAGGATGGCTCATCAAACGTGGGCACAATTGGCACACGTGGAAGAGGAGATGGTTCGTCTTGACTTCCGACGCGAAACTTGAGTACTTCAAGAAGCCAAACCGGAAAAAGTCCAAGGGGAAAGTGGATTTAAATGACGGTATCGTTCAGGTGCAGTTCGTCGATGTCCACCACGTCGAGCACATGTATGCGTTCAGCATCACGAAAGGGTTCTACACGCTCCTGTGCAGTTGCGAGACTGGCGACGACGCCGACACTTGGGTTCGCAACCTTCGCAACGTCCGTCGGCATACCCCTCCTGATTTTGAAGGTCTCGATCGACATGTCGGAAATTTTGCGTCGGAAGCCACCATGTGTGCTCTTTTGAGCTCGGACAAGGCGTCCACTCACCCAGGGAATTCAAACGGCTGGACTGCGCAGATGCTCCGATTCCAGCGCGTCGCTCTGTCCAGTGCGACAGGTTTTACTCCTGTCGCTGCATCGTCGATCTTGAATGTTCAAACCGCCGGCGCGCAATTCGAAGAGTTCTCGGCTGGCACGATCCTGAACTTTATTGACGTGATGACGCAGCAAGCAGTGGCCACCCACCGGCCGCTGTTCAACTCGAGCGACGGAACGACCCAAGACAACTCGACGGTTCCGTTTGAAGCCATTCTTGGCATCCGCATCGTCCTCGAAGATCGCATTTACCTGCCGCTCCAAGACGTGTTCCACAAACACATCCATGATGTGCCCACGTCCCGCATCAAAGCACGCCTCGCGATTCTCCGCAGTCTTCCGGCCGACCTTCTATTCGACGCATCCGTCTTGGCAACTGCCGACACGGACTGGTCGGATGCCATCGCGACCTTTTCCGCCCTCGACACGGCTTCTTTACCGACACACAAAATGCGCATTTTCCAGCGAGCGGTCGACCTTCTTGGCCCAAAGTTCGTCGCAGCGCCAGCAGCGTACCGGTACATGTGCATCCATGCCGTCGTCATCGATCTCGCCATGCAAGCCGCGATCCTTCGCCTCGTTCAGAAACACCTTCCATTTCCAGACCTCGACGGACCAGTCCGCTTGCTTTTGGATGCCGTGACATGGGTGGCGAATTTCAACCCGTCAACGTCCACGATTTCATCGTCTTCAGTTGCTGCGGTCTCGGCCCCAACTCTTCCGTCCGTTGTGTCTGTGAATTTTGCCACGTCCGAACTTGGCATTCAGTTCGCAACGCACTTACCCCAAGACCGCGGCGCGCGTGTTGTGTATGTCCAAAAGAACTCGCAGGCCAACTGGAGCACAACGGTTCAGCCAGGCCTTGTGCTCGTCGCAGTCAACGACATGTTTGTGGCAGCATCAACACTTCTAGATATCATCGGCCACATACGCCGCGCCACATTGCCGAAGCGACTACTTTTCGTCGCGGACACAGACGTCGATTCGTTCTTGACCACGGAATTCTACCACTTCCTTCTCTGCTCGGCCGCGGACCGAGGCGACTTTGCAACGGTCCGCTTCATCCTAGACCGATGCCCCCACATCGACGTTCACGGGACTTGCAAGTGGACTCCGTCAGCGCTTACGGTCGTCGGCACTGGTCGATCGCCGATATTAGCAGCACGTGCGGTGCCAGATATGGCCCTGCACGCGGCAGTCCACGGCGGCAACATTGACCTCGTTCGATATTTGCTCGATGACATTGGGCTGGATGCCAATCGACGAAACCCCCCTCAACTTGCAACCCCGCTGCACATGCTCGTATCCAAAATCGCAGAGATTGCGCCGCTGTTGGTTTCAAACGGTGCGGGTGTCGATGTCCCAGACAAGGATGGCCGCACGCCATTGCACGTTCAGTGCCGTGTGGGAAGCAAAGAAGGCATCGTAACCCTCGTGGGATTGGGGGCTTCCGTGAACGGGCCGTCCGCGGTCGCGTGGGCAACGGGTGCAACGCCGTTGATGGAATGTGTTCGTCACGGGGATGTATCGCTTGTCGACTTTTTGCTCCTCAAGGGGGCTCGCGTGAATCACGAAAACAACGACAAAGAAACGGCGTTGCACGTTGCTGCGATGCATGGGCACGTCAGCGTGATGGAACGGCTCGTCGAAGCCGGGGCTTCGCTGACCGCATGCAACCGAGACGGGTGGATCCCAGTCATGGTGTGGCTCCACCACTTTCGTCGAAACACAAACCTGTCGTGTGACGACTTTTTGCGTGGGTTTCGGTGCGTCGTGGCTGACCCTGCGACCATGCGGTGCAACGACGTGTGGGGACGATACGTAGTTCACTTTGCCGCGACGTCGCTGGACCCAAAGACGATGAAGGGTGCGATGGAATATTGCCTCGAGAAAGGGGCAAATGGTCATGTCGAGGACGTCTTTGGCGACACGGCGAAAGAGTACCGAAAGCACCCCAAGGACCACGGCGTGTACGTTCCACCAACGAGCTACATGAAGCACCTGAACGTGACCTTGGTCGAATTGGGGGACACAACGAAGCGGTGGCGCGTTCAGAACGGAAAAATCGAAGACATTTTGGCGTATTTGGTCGCTGACAAGTCGACCGATCTGTCCGAAATGATGTCGTTCGTGCTCAATTTCCAAGCATACATGGACATGGCCGACCTCTTGTCGCTTTTCAAGGTAGCGATGGGTGGTCGTCCTCGGTTGATTATGTGTGGCAGGCGCGATTTGGACACCACGACACCAAGTCCAAGCTCAAACAGGCGTGGAGCGCCATGGGCGTCGGCAACCTTCTTCGAGACAGTACGTACTCGAACAACTGTGCACTCTCGTAAGCCATGCAAACTAGACTGCTGCGGGGGAGTCCTGTTCTTGAGTTTACTTGGGCTGTTGTACCCGCAAGTGATGGGGTCCGATACGTTCGTCGAGTGCGTTGCCGCTATACACGGCACGATGCCTGTGGTGAACCACCAAATTGGAAAACTCCAGCACTTTTATAACCTGGGACCACCGACGACCCTGTACAAGGATTTGTACCAGCACATGACGGAAATGTACTCCACAAAAGGCACCGAGTTCACCGTCGCCATGACACGCATGTCGCCGTACGTGGCTTCGATCGTTGTGCTACAATTGCAACGTTGTTGTAGGTCGACGTCCGCGTTCGACTTTGCCCGGCAGTGCACACTCCTCACGCACGCGCTATTTAGTCACATTCCGATCCGGCACTTGCTCGTGCCAAAGTGTCAAGACATTGGGTTTCTGTCGGCGAGGCACTGGTTCCAACATGTAGGTTTTTGCATCGCGGTCCGCGGTTCTGATAGACGAGCTGGTAGGTGTCCGAGGTGGTGATCAATTCGATTTTGCTCGAAGATTCGCCAGTCGACCGCGTCCGAGTCATTTGCTACTTTATTGACGTACGACCAGCGATCCGATCGATCGTCATGTGCACGCGTGTGTTTCGCCATCTCCTCTTCCACTGTGCAGGTGGCCGAAATCTGTTTTGCCGCGTTTCAGAACTTTGACACGTTCATTGCGATTGTGTACGCGCTGCAGTCGACGCCGATTTTCCGTCTCAAGATTACCTTTGCGCACGTACGAAGACGGTGAACGCAGAGTTCGTCTGGTTTGACATTCCAGTGTAGGTTGACCCCGTTTACACCGAGAAGCTCCGGAAGCTCCAAGTGTACACGCAAAGCGGCAGCAGGTGCGTGTCCATGCAATGCTTGAAATTCCCGTGGCGCCGGTCGATCGCATGTTCTAGATGCATCATGACGTGTTTGTTGGATAGAGAAATGAACCGCGTGATGAAGACGATCGCGCCACCTTGTATTCCGTTTCTAGGGCTCTTTTTACAGGTTCACGAGTTGGCTTGCCTTGTGTGGATGTGAAGCGTATCGATTTCCAACGGATCCATGAGTAGAACATTGTCGGGCTCAACGAACTGCCCAAGTACGAAGAAGACTCGTTTGTAAACTTCAACCGCCTTCGCATGATTGGGACGTTGGCGCAAGACCTGATGAAGTATCAGAGCGTGCCGTATCCGTTCCATTCCAACCATGCAATCGAGGTACGATGTGATGTCGACAAGATTTCGACTCACGCGGCATCGTAGGACATCTTGCATGTGGCGGTGCCGTTTCCGACCGAAGAAGATCGGTACCATCGATCGCATGCCGTCGAGTCGAAAGAATCGATCGATGCGTTTTTGGACGCGCAACGAGAACGAACCGAGTCGGGCGATTCCGACGGATCGTCGTGGACAACGCGGCTCCGACTGAATTCGACGGCCCGGCGAGATCGCCGAGGGTCGACCTCGCACAGTGCCGTGTGATCCTAATTATTCCCATTCCCTTGACCTCCGCTTCTCTTTTGTATTGTGCATCGAGTTCAAGCATGAACACGACGTATGCATTATTCAGGCGGACGATTGTCACCAAAATGCAGCATCGAATAAATGACAGCTCGCCAATTGCTGCTAAAGCGTAGCGCGTGGATCGGGCTTGCCACCGAGGCCCGACGTCGGTGCTCCTTGGCCATGGTTGTACTCGTTCGGGTAAATTTGGATCCACGCGTTGTGCAACGCCGCGTAGTGCTTGGGCTGGGTGAGTGACCACCCCAGTGGGTCTTCTGCCCACAGCACAAAGATCGTCGTGACCGCGCCGCCCATGAGCGACATAAACAGGTTGTTCACGATGTACCCGATCAGGAAGGCGACAAACCCGACCATGTACTCGGGGCGCTTGACGCCTGGGAATTGAAACGAGCTGTTTTCCACTTGATCGGCGACAACAGTCACGGCCAAAAAGCACGTGAGGCCTCCGACAACGACGTTCCCAAGCCAAAACACCTTTTGCGTCAAGTCGTCGTTGACGACCCCCGACCACCCCTTGCTGTGAAACAGTTGCGACACCTATTCACACACAGGATGAGTCTGGACCTGCAGGCGGCAACCGACCTGTCGACCGGCCTTGAGGAAGCTGTAGCCGTGGATGCCAATGTAGGCGTACGCGTATCGGTTGAACGTTTCCACCATGTTCTTGATGCACCCGAGACAGCACGCCAAGCAGCCCACGATGCACGCGGCCACGCAGTTCCCGCTGCGCGCAGCAATCATTGAAATCGTGTTGAGCACCGTTTGAATCGCTTCCAAGATCGCGACGACCAACGACCCGAAGCAGATGCTGCCCAAACTCAACGTCATGGCACGACTCCATGCACCAAGGGTGATGAGTGGCGTGCTTGCGTTCACCTTCCACGCGGCCACGGTGCCGGCCACCGTCACCGCCACAATGTTCTTGACGACCATGGCTCCCCAAAAGAAAACGACAAGCATTGGCAGCGACAGGCCGATGATCGGACCATACTTGACGTGGAGTTTACATTTGCCCGTCGAGTTGGGATCCGCGCAATGTTGGTTTGGCCGGATGTACTCGAGATGGTCAAAGAGACCGTACGCGCCCAAGAACCACGTGATCGCCCAACCCAGTTGCACCGTCACCATGACGAGGGCGACTAGAATCGTCATTGGGAGTCGGAAGAGGGCACTGCCGGCGATTTTCAGGTGCACGGCTGCGAATTTGACACGTTTCTACAACACGAATGAGATATAGGACGTAGTGAGACTAGCTACAACTTACGCGGATGCAGACTGCATACAACATGATGAGGAGCGCCAACAGCCCAAACACAGGGGCAGGCCACCAGTACACTTTGGCTTCGCGTTCATGCAGTTTCTTGGTCATGAAGATTGCGGCAAACGCACAAGCTCCGATCATGAAAAGCAGCGACGCCCAAATGACAAACTCCCCCAGGAACATCATGGTGACTATCCACGCGAGAGAGATTCCGATGGACGCTGCACCACACATGGCCGCGTAGTGGAGGACCTTCTTGAATCCTGTCGTGTTGGGGTCGTCTCGGATCTGCGTTTCCTGGATAAAATTGGGACCGAACTGAATGGCAAACACCACCGTCATCCCGACAATCGCAAGGAACGCGATGAGAAATAGAATGTCGTTGCACAGGAGCGGCGACGCACGATGCGTCGGCGGGGCTTCCTTCTTCTCGACGACATACTCGACGTTGTCGACAGAGGAGCGCGTGCTGTCGACGTCAGTGTCGCGCGGATCGATGTGCATCATCGTTTGCAATCAATGAATTGGCACAAGTCACACCAACTTGTAACTTGCCATCTTGTCGACCTTGTCGTCGATTGTCACGGGCGAGAAAATCCAAGAAAAAAAATACTCCTCATTGGTGCAAAAAGATTTGTACTATTCACATGTAGTCCTCTTTTGTGATACTTCGAAGTATTATA